CTGATTTAATAATTTTCGCGCTACATCTTTAAAATATAGATTAAATTCATTCGCGATATCTAGTTCTTTAGTTAACTGTTCATTGGTGGCGGTCTTTACAGAGGATATACTCCCTAGAGGCTTCTCCCTGCCTGTCAATTCTCGCCCAATCCTCCACAAAGCTTTTGCGTTATCTTTTTGTGTGTAGATCTTTTGTTTGTAGTAGCTTTGCTTTAGAGTGGTGATTAACTTTTTAATTGTCACACAATATTGTTTGTATGTATTGTTTAATTGGACATTACCGGGATCCAATTTTGATTGCTTATAAAGAATATCTCTTGTGTTAATAGACCTTATCACACCGTTCGTTATCCAAGGAGTACGCTTCCTATTCTTAGATGTAATTTCCCTCTTGACAGTTGCCTTATCCCGCTGATCTTTGATTACGTCACTGATAAATTGTAAGGCATCATCAATGTCAGAAGGGACACTCGCGAAATTTTGTGCAGCAATGTTGTTAATGAATTTATTATAATCAATTATCATTTGGTAGCATTTGTTCTTATTGTGGATAGTGTTGTTTTTAACATTGGGAAAATTTATCTGCAAGAAAACAGGACTATGGTAGGTAATTTTTGAATGAGATACAATCGACAACAAATTCTTGTGCGGTAGAGAAGTTTTTACTAAAATGTGGTCTAAACAACTTTTACTGTTGCTGACCACTCGAGTATAATCATTGATATGGGATTAATACTGATAAATAATGTTGATTCAAGTGTTGGAAAATAGTTTTTTCAGACTTCAACATTGATACAGAAGTTTTTGATACAAAAGATTTTTTTTTCTGAAAAGAGTCTAAACCACCTCAGCTCTGACAAGCTTGATTGATGCTGTGGCACAAGCGTTCGACGACAAAGAAGAGGTTCAATTATTATGCTTTGTTAAAGACATTCGATTATGTCCAACGGTATAAGAATCACATGATTCATAATTATCTAAGCAATATAGCGCAGTGCGTTCCATGGAAGGGTCGAAATTACCAAAATTACTTCTGGACCAATTCTGGGTGCAGTGCTTTTCATGATCTATATAAATGATCTTCCTGTAAATATCTCGGCAGAAGGCATATGTATATATACGCTGATGACACGTCTTTCATGCTAACATCGAAAGATAAATGTGAGCTTAAAAAGAACATTGAAATTATTATGACTGAAGTTGTGAAATAGTTTAAAGCTAAATGTTGACAAGACGCAGAAACTTGTACTAACGACAAAACCTGAGAGATGGGAGCAAGAACCAATAAAATTCCTAGGGATTTCCATAATGCCAAATGTGAACTGGAACATTCTGGACGAAACATCAATCCGGCTTCAGTAAATTTTATTGGAAACTTTAAAACATTGTTGATTAATAATTCGGTCAGTAGTCATTCTAGATAATTTGTAGAGAATTAAATTCCGTTTTTTTTTCTAATTCTAGGTCTAGTGTTAGTTCTAGTTTTAGTGCAATAAAGGAATACGACGACAAGATCAAGAGCATTTTGGACCCAGCCACCTATAAGAAAATAAAAAAGCACCCAACCCAGAAGAAAGTAAGGAAAATGAGAGAACTGGTAAAATCAACAGAAATCCCAGTAGATCAACAGAAAAGCTTATTCGTACAGGCTCCAGTACCACCAAGGATATATGGATTACCTAAAATCCATAAACCAGATGTCCCACTACACCCTATTGTCAGTGCCGTAAATTCACTCACCTATCAGCTAGCAAAACACCTTTCAAAGATTCTGTCTCCTTTTACAGGTAGAACAGAGACTCCACACATTTTGTAGAATCAATTAGGAGTATGAAGCTAGACCCTCAGGATATGCTGGTAAGTTTCGACGGGAAATCTCTATTCACCAGAGTACCAGTCAAAGATGCCATGGATGATCTTCGCCAGAAACTCATCCCGGAGAGTTTGCCCAAGTATGTCCCAAGACTAGTGGAGTACTGCCTATCGTATGGAGATGTTTGAAGAGGAAGCGTTAAAGAAACAAAGCTATGGCTCCGTTACGTCGATGACAGTTTCGTGATCTGACAACATGGAAAAAAGCTCCAGGAATTTCTAGACCACCTCAATTCACAGCACCCCATGATAAAATTTACCATGGAAACAGAAACTGCAAAACAGTTGCCATTCCTGGATGTGTTAGTCATTAGGAAGACAGATGGGGGCATGGAACTGGGAGTATATCGAAAGAAGACGCATACGAATAGGTACCTGCAGGCTTCATCTACAACAGAAGAGGTCCGTGATTCAAACCTTATTTCAGCGAGCAGAGAGGATATGCGATAAAGAGAACCGAAGAAAGATTCCTAGAAAATGTTGCTACAGAAGAACGGCTATACGATGGGAAATATCCACCAAACCACGCAAACAGAAGTATCACTCTGTAAGTACGACACCAGCCGGTTTTATCTGCCTTCCTTATGTTTCAGGTGTGACGGAGCGACTTGCGAGGCGTCTGAAGAAGAATGATATCGTGGTACGATACGGTACGCAAAATACAAAACGCTGTATCGATAGCTAAAGACAAACTAACCCCATTAAAGGGAGGCTATCGTGCAGTTGCGGGAAATATGACGTTGGCCAAAGTGGACGTAATATCGAGTGCTGCATCAAGTAACACGAGAGGAACGTCCGACTAAGGAAGATCCAACAATCTGCAGTCGCAGAGCATTGCCACAAAGGAGGACACAGTATAGAGTTCGAAAAAACCAAAGTGCTAGCAAGAAACGGACATTACTTCCAAAGATTGACGAGAGAGGCGATAGAGATTCATCGACATGGGAATAACATGAATAGAAAAGATGGTTGGAACTCAACGAAGCCTTCTCCACCCGGATTTGACAAAAACTTAGTTGACAATTAGACACTAATTAGTTAGTAATTACCTTTTCATGTATTTATTGTCAAATTTTAACCGAATTCGTCACTGCGAACTTGTTTCTGAAGAAGGTTGTAACATGGCATCCGAAACGACAAACATTTTTTTCAAAAAACGCACGGCTTAACCCGAAAGATTCTAGTTCTAGGTCTAGTGTTAGTTTTAGTTTAATAGTGATATCTAGCAACATCATGTTTGGAGTCATTTCCGAATGATTCTAGGTCTTGTGTTAGTTCTAGTGATAGTGCTAATGTAAAACTAATACTAGAACGAGAAATATTCGGGTTTAGACGTGCGTCTTCTGACTTTTCTAAGTTCTTGTCTAAACTTAAAACTTTCTGGTTCTAGCTCTAGTATTAGTTCTAGTTTTAATTGTTATGTAACCCTAAATTCTTGTACATTTTAATTGATCTATAGCACTTACCTTGCTATAATTTCACCCATTTACTCATTTTGAATTAAATACAACCTTTAAATCAAATTAATTATGTGTTTTCATTAAAAAAACTTAAATCCAACGTCAATTTTGATAAGCACCTGCAATATTTGGATCTTAATCACCATGGCAACCGAGTCAAGTTGGATAACCTAACAATAATAAAATTATAACCGTTAATATTTCGCTTTACATTTTAATTTATATTTTATTTTATATCTTTTTTTATGTTTTTATATTTTTGTGTATTGCTTCTTAAGTGAAATATCATTGTATAAATAAAAATGTCAATTCTTCCAAAGACGTCACAGCAAGGCGAGCAAGGCCCTTGCGGGGGGATACGTTCATAAGAACAGTGTTCGTATGGAGTTGGATAAACTTATGTATGTTTACTCAACGGACCTTAGTTACGTGCAAGGTTTATATATTATAAATAAATAAACCTTCGGCATCGAGATATACATTTACAAAATTATATGTATCTCGATGACCTTGGGTTACGTGGACATTCTGTTGTAGGTTGGGTTGCCTAAGTTAGAGATAGATATAAAAATAAAGATTAAGACATACTTGTAGAAATGTGAGTGTGACTAGAGTTTTAAAATATATAAGTGAATGAGATACAAACTAGTTTCAATTATTAAATATAATAATTTGGTAAATTAAAAATAAATATAAACACGATTAGTTGGGGGACACGTGCCAACAGATGGCGCCAAAAACGCTGAGCCTGCAGTTTTTTAACAATTACCTATTTAGATTATGTGTTGAATAAATATTCGTTGGACTTATCGTTCAACTAATGTGTTTAAAAAATTAATTCCAAATAAATTAACATGCGTTATATCTATTATAATCACCTTGTCACAAAACAAGAACAGAAATCTGTAATTTTATATTAAAATGTTAACATAACCTATACAACTTTGTCGTGATTTTGAGGTTATCCCTTAAAAAATATCAAAAAAAATATGTTTTATTTTTTGCGTTCCGCGCGAAATACTCAAAGAAAGATAAATCTACGAAAATATTCAACTGAAGTTGCAATAAAAGAGAAGAAAGAGGATGAGTTACAAAGAACGGTTGAAAAATTATCAAAAGTATCAAGTAGAGAGGTTATAAAAAAGCCGCAAAGAGAACCCTTTGTAAAAAATTTCTTTTTGGGTGTTGTTGACACAGAATTAATGGCATATCCAGAAGTATTAGATAAAAAACAAGTTGATACCCTCGAAGAAGAAATAAATCCAGTTAAAGATTTCTTCGAAAATATAAATCAAACCAACGAAAAAGAAATTAATCGAAATTACATTCAGAATTTGAGTAATTTAAATTTATTGGGGCTTCAAGCCTCTTCGATGGACGGTGGGCGACAATTATCATTAACAGAAACTTTTCGGTTTTACGAAGAGTTTGGAAAAGCTGATGGAAAAATTGGTATGGTACAAAATCAACAGTTGGGGTTACAAATGTTGTTGAAATACACAAAACCACATCTAAAAAGATACATCGACGATATCATTCAAGGAAAATCAATTTCAGCCTTTTTTATAAACGATTCAACATTAACAGAGAATACAAAAAATAAAACGCAAGCTGTTTTATCCAGCGACGAAAAATATTGGATTTTAAACGGAACCAAACATTGGATTGTTAATGGCGAAAACGCCGACATTTTAATTGTTGTAACACAGGCCGAAAAATTAAATAAAGTGGGATTACGAGAAAATAAAATGATTGCGTTATTGGTTAACCGAAACGATGGAGGAATTACATCAAAACCAAGTAATATTTTTGGTTTAAACCAAACCGATATCGCTGATGTAACCTTTGTAAACACCCCTGTTCCAATAGAAAATGTTTTAACAGAAGAAAACCCAAATGATAAAACAATAAACTGTATTTTAAATGAAAATAGATTAAGTACAGCTCCGATTGCCATAGGAATTTTGAAGAAAGTTATTAATAAATTTATCAATGATTGTATTAATTGCAAATTACCCCAAGGAAATCTTACAGAAACTGAAATAATTCAAACTAAAATTGGAAAGGTAAATTAAGGAAAAATTTAAGAATCATCATGTGGGTTTAAAATCGACCATTTTATTTTAATCAATGTGAAATTACCATATATATACTATCTGCTATATCGCTGACTAAGGCAGCAAAAGAGTGTAAAGACTAGAGTGCAGATATATATATATATCTGTCTCTGTCATGTCCCCTTCTACTCAAGAGGCATGCGTGAGCACCTGGTGAGTAGGCTTTTATCTTATTGGATAGTGAATTAAAAATTAATAGCAGCTGATGACCTTGATGTTTATAATTTATAAATCACCAAATAAATGTTTGACATAAACATAACCTAAAATTGAAATATTTAGTCTATTTAGTTATGTATATTATAGGTTTCATGTGTATAACAACATAATTATTAACATATTTTATGACTAAGCAATTTAAAATATAATTATTATTTGTTAAGAAGTAAAATAAAAAAGAAAAAGAGTAGTGGAGATATTTTTGGGGCCTAAAAATTGGTTGAACAGGTATAAGAAAGATCTCAGTGTAATAAAAAAGAATTCAAAGTACAGATCAAAGTACTCATTAAATAGGGTGAGCTCACAAATTATGTTAAAAATTAATAACTATATTTTGGTACACATTTTTAATAATTACTATGTATGTATTAATTTAATTTTAAAGAATATAATGTTTAATGAACAACCTACATAAAGTTGATATTTAAAACAATATTCAACCTCAATTTTACACAAAAGTACATATATTCTAATTTATGTGATGCATCAATGATAATTTATAGTTAAAGTAAACCATCTATAATAATTGCATTTTAAAGCTGCATAAAATACTTTCGCGATATGGGGGCATGACAAAGACAGACAATATATCATTCCGTCTGCCTTTGATGGAAACGCTCTCCTCTCATTGCTTAAATAGGGAATCAGCGATATAGGAGATAGTATATATATGGAAATTACCCAAAAAAATCGGTAAGAATAAAAAGAGAATGTGGAAAAATCGCGTTAAAGTTTCGATGTGACGTCACGTTTTGTTAAGTCTGACGTCACAGAGATGGGCAGAGCTTATACCGACTCCAAAAAATTTCGTTGCTAACCACAGTTGCTAACGAACGATAAATCGCCGACATTTAAAATGTCACTTAAGTCCATTACTACCATCTTTTGGTTAAGCTATCTAAGGGATTATTACCACGGTTACGGCTATTTTAGGCGCTCTGATTGGCTAGTAGATGGGTTTATCTATAAGATAAATTTAACTAAAAGATGGTAGTAATGGACCTTAGGCTCGTTACTACCATCTTCTGGCTAAGCTATCTAAGGGATTATTACTACGGTTACGGCTATTTTACGCGCTCTGATTGGTTAGTAGATGGGTTTATCTATAGGATAAATTTAACTAAAACATGGTAGTAATGGACTTTAGGTCCACTTTTGCCATCCTCCTGATAAACTATCTAAGGGATAATTACTATGGTTACAGCGGTTTTAAGCGCTTTCATTGGCTAAGGCCCCTTACTACCAAACCAATGCTATCTGTCAGTTAAGCTATCTATAAGATACAATTTATCTCGTAGATAATAGGGTCGTGCATACTACCACCTCCATTTATCTCATAGTTAAGAAATCCTTGAGATAACCAATGAATCTAGGGATTTTTTGGTCTTTATATTAATTTGACAGCTCTATGTGGTCAAAAGACCTACTATTAGGTATTTTGACAATATTCTAACCTTAAAATTAAAATTTGGAAATGAAGACTGAGAAAAGGCGACAAACCACCAATTTCATCAAAGAAGAATGCGAACATCTTCTTGAATTTGCCATCAAACATAAAAACGTAATAGAAAACAAAAAAAGTGATGCAGTTACATGGTAAGGAAAGCAAAAAGTATGTACAGGGTGATTCAAAAAACCGCTGACAGACTTCTAGGGCAGGTAATACATCAAAAATTAAGATGAAAAGTCTTAATATACATGGGGGTCGCAAATGCCTCCTTAACGAGATATAGCGGGTCAAAGTTTCTTTAAAATTAAACATTATCTGCAATAAAAAGCCCTTTTTAAAAAATATTTTCAACTCCACTGCTAATTTTTTCAAACGGGCAGTATTTTCGTGTAAAGTGATCATTTATCTATCAATTGGTCTTTTACAAAACTTTGAATTAACAAATTTTCTACAAACGTGTTTTTCTTAAAAACTATTGCTTTGATCAAAGTTTTGTAAGAGACCAATTGATAGATAATTTACATTATCACTTTACACGCGTAGAGAGCAATGGCGTAGATAATATTTTCAAAAAAGTGCTTTTTATTGCAGATAAAGTTTAATTTTAATGAAACTTTGATCTGCTATATCTCGTTAAGGAGGCATTTGCGACCCCATGTATATTAAGACTATTCATCTTAATTTTTCATGTATTATCTACTCTTGAAGTCTGTCAGCGGTTTTTTGAATCTTCCTGTATATCTCGTATTATTGTATGTTAAAATATGATGGTCAACAATAATGGCACAACTAACATGATGAAGGACTGAAGATGCCAATAGGGCCGTTAAAGTCAATCGATTAGAAAGACCGTCTTTCAAAAAATCGATAATCTAAATTAAATTAGACGGACTAGCAACGTTTTCTCGTTCGAAAATTGTTTAATTTTTGCAATAATTAATGTAAAAGTTTAAAATTCCTCACCCCGGACTCCAGATGACGTTTTAAGTAAGAAGAAAGAAATCACAGACGTTACGCTCGCTCCCGTTTCCTTCTAGCGCATAAGATTCGTAGCATTGTCTCTCTCCAGGAATTTTATTGATTTTTATACGCTCAAATCTGAGTGACGTACTTTGGAGTTCGCGCCCTGTAGTTTCAAACTTTATTGTTTTTTTTTTTTTGGAAAAACTAAGCTTCAGAATCAAAAATTAAAAAATATAGGGTCAATCAATTTAAAAAAACTTTCGAATAAGCCAATAAAAAAAAATACTTAACGGCTGTATTGTACACTCAGTCCTGCAAAATCTGCTATGAGGTTTTATTATTTCTTCTATTTGATTCAAAAGGTGACGAAAACTTTTTTTTGAGAGACGAAACTCGTCATAAATTCAACATCTGAATGAATATTTAAATGGTCAACTCTACTCCTTATTATCCTTTCGCTTCTTATAGAAATAATTCATTGATTTCACTAGAACTAACATTAGATCTAGAACTAGAAACCGAGAAGCCGTCTGGAGAGACGTGGTGCTAAATCCGAATGATTCTAGTTTTAGGTCTTGTGTTAGTTCTAGTGATAGTGTAAAACTAGAACTAACACTAGACCTAGAACTAAAAAGTTAGTTTGGACACATTTTAAAGTTTTTTTTAATAAATCCATTTATTTATTATACAGGGTGTCACACAAAAAACGCCCCAAGCTGTAACTCTGTCATTTACATTCCGATTTTCATGAGCGGGTTATCAAATGAAATGGTTTCATGAATACTATGATTCATGCTACAAATAAATTTTTTCCAAGGCCATCTTCAATTTTAAGCGATTATTAACTTTTGCTTTACAAATTGCTCTATATATTTTTCTTCACGTCATTGGATAGAGATTGTTTTTCTGAATCCACTGATGTACAATACATCCATTTTGAATATAATTTTAGCAGAGAAAAGACACCTGTATATAGAGGTTGCCACACAAGAACGTCGCAAGCTGTAACTCTGTCATTTACCTTCCAATTTTCATGACCCAGCTATCAAATGAAATGGTTTGATGAATACTATGGTCCATGCTACAAATAAACTTTTTCCAACGCCATCTTCAATTTCAAGCGATTAACAACTTTTGATTTTCAAATTGCTCGGTATGTTTTTCATCACGTTATTGGATAGAGATTTTTTTTCTGAACCCATTGATATACAATAGATTAACATTAATTCTAATTTTAGCAGAGAAAAACAATTAAAACATTTTCCGAACATTGTCTCTAGTGTGCCATAGAAAAAAATAACGGGCAAAAAAATAAAACTGATAACAGTCATTAAATGTTATTTCAATGCCCGAAACAGTTGTAAATGATACTTATAAGTTGTTTTTTTTTTATTTTTTCCCATGGCACACTACAGTATACCACAAGTGACTTTAAGAGAATGTTCGGAAACTATTTTAATGTTTTTCTCTACTACAATTATAATTAATGTTGATATATTGTACATTCATGGATTCAGAAATAAAATCTCTATCCAATAACGTGAAGAAAAACATACCGAGCAATTTGAAAATCAAAAGTTGATAATCGCTTTAAATTGAAGATGGCGTTGGAAAAAGTTTATTTGTAGNACAATTCTTTGAATTAACAAATTTTCTACAAACGTGTTTTTCTTAAAAACTATTGCTTTGATCAAAGTTTTGTAAGAGACCAATTGATAGATAATTGATCACTTTACACGCGTAAAGAGCAATGGCGTAGATAATATTTTCGAAAAAGTGCTTTTTATTGCAGATAATGTTTAATTTTAATGAAACTTTGATCTGCTATATCTCGTTAAGGAGGCATTTGCGACCCCACTCTTGAAGTCTGTCAGCGGTTTTTTGAATCATCCTGTATATCTCGTATTATTGTATGTTAAAATATGATGGTCAACAATAATGGCACAACTAACATGATGAACGACTGAAGATGCCAATAGGGCCGTTAAAGTCAATCGATTAGAAAGACCGTCTTTCAAAAAATCGATAATCTAAATTAAATTAGACGGATTAGTAACGTTTTCACGTTCGAAAATTGTTTAATTTTTGCAATAATTAATGTAAAAGTTTAAAATTCCTCACCCCCGGCTCCAAATGACGTTTAAAGTAAGAAGAAAGAAATCACAGATATTACGCTCGCTCCCGTTTCCTTCTAGCGCATAAGATTCGTAGCATTGTCTCTCTCCAGGAATTTTATTGATTTTTATACGCTCAAATCTGAGTTTCCCCTTTTCGCCCTGTAGTTTCAAACTTTATTGTTTTTTTTTGGAAAAACTAAGCTTCAGAATCAAAAATTAAAAAATATAGGGTCAATCAATTTTAAAACCTCAATTTTGACATATTTGTAATCTTCATTAAAAATCCTTTAAAGTGAGTACAAACACGACACATTTATCTTCAATATTAATGAAGTTATGGTCAGCTTCCGGTTAGAAATGTCAACCTCAATTTTGTAATATTTGTAATCGTGAAAAATCCTTTAAAATGAGCACAAACATGATAGGTTTAATTCCAATATTACTCGAGATATAAGCAACTTCCGGTTTGAAATATCAATGTCATTTTGATTTTTTCTTAATTTTTATAAAATGTCTTAAAATTTGTCACAAAAACAAAAATATAATAAAAAGAACAGAAATTAAGGTTGGTATTAATATTTAAACATTAAATTGCTATTTTCATTGTTGCTAACTTCCGGTTTAATGTTTTTTATTTTAATTTTTTTGTTTTTTGACATAAATGCATCATGTTTGGACACATTTAAAAATGTTTTTTAATAAAAAATACATCATGAAAGAACACCATGAAGTTGTCCATTTGTTTATTATATGATAACTAACTTCAGGTGTAATATGTCAACCTAAATTTTGACATATTTGTAATCTTCATTAAAAATCCTTTAAAGTGAGTACAAACACGACACATTTATCTTCAATATTAATGAAATTATAGTCAACTTCCGGTTTGAAATGTCAATGTCATTTTGATATATTCTTAATTTTTATAAAATGTCTTAAAATTTGTCACAAAAACAAAAATATAATAAAAAAAAGAAATTAAGGTTGGTATTAATATTTAAAAATTAAATTGCTATCTTCATTGTTGCTAACTTCGGGTTTAATGTTTTTTTTTTCTAACTTTTTTGTTTTTTGAGATAAGTGCGTCATGTTTGGACTCATTTTAAAGGTTATTTTATAAAGATTACGAATATAATAATAAAATTAAAGTTGACATTAACAGCTGAAAGTTTTTTTCTTAGCCTTGTGTCGAAACTCTTTCAAAAAAGATTACTTTTAGGCGCTATTCTATTATATTCTAGTGTAAAACTAGATCTAGAACTCTATCTAGAAAGTATCGGGTTTAAAAGATATCGAAACTTTAAAGTGATTTTTCGTTAAGTTTTCCACTTTTTTTTTTAATTTAACGACTTAAGTACTGCAGTGATTTCACGTCGATTAAAAAAAATTGTCGATTTTTAAGCGGCATGATGATTCTTGAACTATACAGTAAATTAAATTAATAAAAAAAAATTATTTTTAATCTTACAATTAACAAATTTTCAGTTAATAACACTTCTTTATGGAATGGAAAGTTTAACTTACTTAACATCCGGATTATTAGATCAATACGAAAATCAAGATTGCGAAATTGAATCGACAATAACAAAATTATTTAGTATCCAACAATGTTCTAATTCAATTTTGGACGTTATGAAATTCGTTGGAACTCAATCCTTAGAAAGTGACGACTTTTATAATCGACTTTATCGCGATTCTTTGGGACATATGTTGCTTCACGAATCTGTTTATAATTTAAAGATAATCGTTGCTTTGTTAGGACTCCAACATGCAGGGGTAAAGAGTTTTTATGTAAAAAAATTTTTATTAATTGAATTTTTTAGAAAACATTAAACGATCGTATCAAAGTGATACGAAACCCAGCATATTACCCGATCGAAGCGTTTAAACGAATGTGGACTCAAAGAAAACATTTTCAAGATGCCCCCGATTTAAATTTGAAATTGAACGAGTTTCTACATCCATCTTTACAATATCCTTCGCAACATCTTGAGTAATTTATTTATTTCTTATTAATTTAAAAGTACTAAAATATCTTGTTTTTAGATATTCTATTATAAGAATTAAATTTGCAACTGAAGTATTATTTGGGCGTTTTGGTGCTGATGTTATTGGAAAACATGCTGATTTAGAGAGATTAGCTGACGCAATTGTTGATGCTTACGCAATGACTGCAGTTTTAGGTACGATTTGTTATTAATATTAATAACTAAGTTAAAATGAATTTATTTTTAGCTCGGGCGAATCGTTCTTATTGTATTGGATTACAACACGCCACAATGGAAATGGAAATAGCCACAGCGTTTTCTGAATTAGCCGTGAAACGAGTGAAAAATAATATAAATGATATTGTTGAGGGTTCTTTATATTCGATGGATGAGAGGCACGCGTCAATTGGAAAATATTCAATTACACATAAAGAATATACCCCAGTACATCCTTTAAGTAGAATTTTTTAAATTATACTTAGGTTTGGTTTTGTTCTGTTAATTTATAATAAAATTTATATGTGATATTTTTTTGTCTTTAATTTTAACACTAGAGCAAAAACATGATTGTGTCTAAACATGCTTAATTAGTGACTATTGAAAAGATATGGAAGATCTATTCTTTGCTGATAACCAAGTTGTTGCATCAAATGAACAGTATGATATTGACTTTATGTTAAAGGTGCAAGGATATAGATGCATAATTTCAGAAAATTAATACTCGACATAAATAAAGGATGGAAGAAGATGATCAAAAAACGTGTGAACAAAATCTTGGACTACCTAAAGGACACAACATTACGAACGTATTGAAAAAGCTGAATCAAGAAAGCTAATGCCAAAAAACAAGCATAGTTGAAAAAATTAGTCTAACTACTATGCAACTGATGCAACAAAGAAGGAGATGGATGAGAGGTCAAAAATCGACCACCATACTATAACTAAAAGAAATTAATAAGCAGGTGTCGAGAGTCATAAGGAAAGATATTAAAATTTATAATAAAGAGAAGATCGAACAAACTATACAGGAAAATAAAAGCTTAAAGATCTTGCGCAGAAGATTGGGTTGGGTTGGTATCAGCGGAAATGGGCATTACAAACCAAGGATCTGAAGAAATGCCAGATATTTCGCTGGAGGAGATTGAATTTGCTCTAAGAAAGACCAGAAATAATAGAGTACCGGGAGAAGATTCTGTGGCTACGGATGTAATAAAGATCGGTGGTCCCTGCTTGCTCCAGAAAATTCCTCTGCCTGTTTAGCAGCACAATACCGAGTAAATGGCATAACGCTACGGCAATACTGTTCCACAAAACAACCGACTTGGATAACTATAGACCAATAAGCTTTCTGAATCACCTCTACAAACTATTCTCGAGAATCCTGATCAACAGACTTGAAAATAAACTAGAACACTACCAGCGGACTTTCGTATTTGGAACCACCAGACTATCAGAGTGTTGATCGAGAAATCGATCGAATACAACAAGTGCTGGCTTTTGTTGTCTTCCAGAAGGCTAAAACATGTTTGTGTCTAAAAAGTCTCAATTTCATGTTGATATACAGGGTGAGTCAGAAAGAATGGGAAATACCGGAAATACTAGACACCAAAATATGATGATTTAACGTAATATCTCTTATACAAATGTCAGTAATTTTTTTCAGGTATAGGGATATAATTGAAGGTTTGATAATTTTGAAGGTTTTTGTACTATTAACATAAAATTTGGTAGTTTTATGTTTTCGAGCATGAGAAATACGAATTTGAAACTTGTTTTGTTATTGCTCGTAGAGGGCGCTAGATACACGCTGCTCGTTTGATAAATCAAATCATAAGTTTTTTGGCTCGACAGCTACAACCAATAAGAGCTGCAAATCACAAAGAGCATTCAATTTTACATAAAAAAGGTACTCTTATTGAAATTGTCTAAGTCTATCGGTTTTCGAATTATTTACTTTTAAATGTATTTTTGCTTCTAAAATATTTATTTTTTAACATAAGCAAAGTTGTGTTATTTTTCCGCTTATGTTTCGACAATTGCTTGTTAATTGTCAACATTGATCTAATTTCCGTGTGCAATAATCATTTTTACCAACAATAAAGTTATTACCAATTTGAAAATGCCACGGCATAATGAGTTTTTTAATAGTGAGAAATCCAGATTTAAGTCCACTGGATTTTTGAAAATAGTCACAATATTCTATTGTTATTAATTAATTATTATTGTTATCGATTATTATCGTTACTAATTGCTATAGCTACTGTGTGTTATTGATTTTAAATGTTAACCTTAAAATTACTTTGAAACAATTAAAAGCAGATAACTTGGAAACCAGTAGGCTTAGGGCCGGTTGTACCACCTCCCGATAAATTTATCCGATAGATAAATTGGCGCTCTTAGGCCCGTTACTACCAAACCAATGCTATCTATTAGTTAAGCTATCTATAAGATACAATTTATCTCGTAGATAACGGGGTCGTGCGTACTACCACCTCCATTTATCTCATAGTTAAGAAATCCTTGAGATAACCAAGAAATCTAGGGATTTTTTTGCCTATTATGTTAAATTGACAGCTCTATGTGGTCAAAAGGCCTACTATTAGGTATTTTGACGATATTTTAACCTGTTCTAACCTTAAAATTTAAATTTGAAAATGGAGACTGACAAAAGGCGACGAACCACCAATTTCACAAAAGAAGAATGCGAACATCTTGTTGAATGTGTTATCAAACATTAAAACGTAATAGAAAACAAAAAAAGTGATGCAGTTACATGGCAAGGAAAGCAAAAAGTATGTATATCTCTATTATTGTATGTTAAAATGTGATGATAAACAATATATTTATGTCAATTCTTTTGAAAGATCTGGATAGAAATAGCCCGCGGACTAACGGCGGTAAGTGGGATTTGCCGGGATGCAAAAGGCGTTAAAGCAAAGTATGATATGTTAAAGAAACAAGTGAAAAGTAAATGTGCTCAAATTCGACAAAACGCGATGAGAACTGATGGTGGGCCTCAAAAAGAAATAGTGCTCACATCTATTGAAGAAAGAATCAAAGGTAAAATTTATTTTAAATGCTGTTTGAAGGCGATAATTTTATTCTTTTAGGGCTCATATTATTAAGTGTAGAAGGGTTACCAGCTAATATGTACGATTCTCATTCCGTACCTAATTGTAACTTAGATTTAACGGAGGTTGCAAAAATTGATGTAGGAGAACCACTCTCTACACCAGTTTCCTTACATAATAAAGTGTTATCTTCTACATCAGTGGATGTACAATTAGTTATAGAGGAAGAACTCGTACAACAACTACAACAAGAAATTGTCAAAAATCAATCAGTTGAATTACATAAACCAACAGAAGTTAACAACAACTGGACCGCATGGAACCCACAAAACCTTAAGAAAAGGAAATGTCGTGTGTTGGATGTGGGTTCAAAGCCAAGTAAGTTAGATTCTTGTATGTAATATTACTTTAATACATATGTATACTTGTTTACAGAAACCGCAAACAAATCTATCCATGATGGATATAACCACTTGAATGAAAAGAGACTGGAATTAACTGAATTGCTTATTAAACAAGCGAAAGAAGAGCATGAAAAGAAAATGGAATTGCTGGACTTAGAAATAAAAATAAAAAGAAAGCAAGCAGCATTACTTTAAAATTAGAATTGATCTTATCTAATTATTACACAGGCTTGCGATGAAAAAGATACAAGAGAATTGATAACTAAGCTTTATAAAAAAATACACAACGTTCAGCTATCAATTCCCTTGTATTTTTTCCATTTCCAATTCCCTTGTAAAAAAATAGTAATTTAAGAAAATAAAAATTTATTTACATTATTACTACATTTATTTTTAGTGAAAAACTAAAAACTAAAATAGTAAAACGCTCGAATTTTATACGTCAGCATAAATCCTATTTGAGGTTAGGTATCCGCATTTATCCCTTAGATAGCATTTTATCCGACACCCAATCCACGGGTTACAGATATTTCAAAAGTGATCCCTTGGATAGCGGTATCTATAAGATTAATACAGTGGTAGTAACCAATTTTTAAGCTATCCGATAGATAACGCTATCAGAGACTTTAACTATGAGTGGTAGTAGTGGGCCTTAGCCAATGAGAGCGCTTAAAACCGCTGTAACCATGGTAATTATCCGTTAGATAGTTTATCGGGAGGTGGTACAACCGGCCCTTAGACAATGTAAACAAAAGTACCTTTTTTGTGCAGAATTGAAAACTGCTTCAGATTTCTGGATCTAATTCACCATACCTCAACTGACAAAATAGTCATGACTTGATATCTCAAACGTAAAGTGTGTATCTAGCGCCCTCTACGAGTAATCACAAAACAAATATCAAATTCGTATTTCTCATGCTGGAATTTTTCCCAAATTTTATGTTAATAGTACAAAAACCTATTATCAAGAAATTTCGAAATAAAAATTTAACTTTCAACACCCTGTGTATTAAAAACCACCGACATTTGTATAAGACAAAAAAGCCGGTATTCGGATTTCCCATTCTTTCTGCCTCACCCTGTATAGCCCAAGGTTATTTACTCGCGAAGTACAAATTTTTTGAAGTAATGGTTGGTAATTTTTGGTGTAAGTATGGACTCTTCTATGTAAGCACTCCAGATATGTTAATATAAAACAGCACGGTAGGGTTAATATGTTTAGTCTTTTAAAATATGTTCTACAACTGTCCCAATGTTGCAGCGCTACCAATATCCTCACCGCTCTTTTCTGTAGTTTAAAAATGGTATCCATTTTATTAGAATTCCCTATGCTATTATTCCATACGTTGCTATATTATAAAAATAAGCGAAATAAATATTTTTCGCATCAATTTAAGGTATGTTCTTTATTATAATTTTTAGGCAATATAAGAAATTAGCAAGTTTTCTATTTAGATTGGTGATGTGATCACTCCAAGAGAGAGTTTCTGAAAATGTGATCCCCAGAAAATTCATAGTCTGATTGGTCATATTAATATCCCGTTTACTAAAGAACGTAAGTATCTTTGTTTTATCTGGATTTAACTTCAAATTATTTGCCCTGAACCAATCTTGTGCTTTTTCCAATACTGAGACTATTTTCTGTTTCAGTTTCTCTGGCTCTCTAGATCTATTTATAGATATTTTAGATCTATTTGGCTCTCTAGACGTATCATCAGCGTATAGACACATTGAAAGTGTATCCACATTTACAGCCATATCGTTAATGTATGTCAAGGGGCCCAAGCACGGAACCTTGAAGAAGACCAAGAGCAATTTTCTTCCATGTCGATACTGATCCTCTCCAGTGTACTCGTTGTTTTCTGTAATTATCTAATTTTCTTAATAATATCTCACGACTATACTGTCAAATGCTTTACTTAGATCACAGAATGCAATCTGGATATATTCGCGCTGATCCGGGTTGATATCCATGTTGATATTTATTTAGTAAATTATTTTTGCATGAATTCATTGCATATTGCCACTTCATACATTTTTGAAATTGCCAGCAATTTTGATAGAAGTCTGTAGTTATTGAGATCATTGGCGTTCCCTTATTTCTTCAAAGGCATAACTTTCACACACTTTAATTCAGATGGAAAAATGCCATCTTGTAGACTTTTGTTTACTAAAAAACATAAATGTTTCTTTATCACTGGCATTACATCCAACAGTAATTTTACAGAGACTGTTTTCAAAATCTTTTCTCTCTGACAATAAGTGAGTAAAAGTCGTTAATTAGACATTAGCAGGAGGACTATTGAATTCCTTATACTGCTAAAGAACGTGTAATATAACTCATTTGCATTCAGCAGTCCTTCAATTTGGTCACATTTCTTTGCCTTGCCTTGCTATCAGAGTGTTTTGATCGAGAAATCGATCCAATACAACTTTGGCCATTGGTGCTAGCTTTTGTTGCGTTTCAGAACTGATTTCCCAATCTTAGAAGCATTAAGAAAATGCCATAATGGATAAGTACACCTATCTTCGCCATGAAATTAAAATCAAAAGAGACAAACAGACCTGCGAACTAAGGAGGAGCATATGGTAAACTCAGAGATGTGTCTAAGAGCAACCTATCAATATGTCTAAAAAGAAAAGTTTTCAATCTGACCTAATGGGCAGAAACATTGACTTTGCCCATAACATCTGCTAACAGACTTAGAACAACACAGCGTAAAATGGAAAGTTTTAGGCTTAAGAATAGGCTTTACAGACGTCATTTCTCGTATCACCAGACTCAAATGGAACTGGACAGATGAAAGGTGGACGAAAATAGATGGATGACATCAACAGATTTTCTAATAACTGGATTAAGGCAGCACGTGATATGAAGAAATGAGTGGAAATATGGGAGCCTTATCTCCAGCAGTGTACACCGAAGGAACATTTGCTGAAGAAATCCACAACACAACTGGAAACAACCTCTCCATATCAGAGTATCAAGATTTTTGACATAATGAGTGGTTTATCAGTGTGGTATATATTGCTTGGTTGCCATTAGTTACAATTCATTATCCACCATTTTGATGACCATTTGACGTCACATAATGGCAGAAAAATAGATGAATCACCCTATTAATTAAGTTATTATAGATTTCTTGTAATATTCTTCAAATTAAATTGTATGTATAAAATAAGTGTTAATTTTCTTAAGAATAATATAAATTTTTTAATTGAAATAACTATTTATAGTTTAGAAAAGAGAAACTTTGCAACACTGTATGATGAAGAGTATCAAAGAAATTAATACGAGGTCTGGTCATTAAATTAATTAATAAAGCCGTTGGTTTAATGAAAAACCGGCCTCAGTATGAAGCGTTTAAATTAAATTTAAAACCAAGCGCATTTTCGCATTCATGACTAATCCCTGGGAGACTCAGCGGGTTCCACTCAGTAAAAAAAAAGTTAATATGTGCCTTGAGAATATTTCCTGACAATTTCAAAAAATCCCGATTCTATTAAATCAGAAGATTTTATTAAAAAAAAAAAATAAATTGTTTAGGTGGGTAATAATTTTCCAATTTCACTTCCCGAACACGTATGTTTATGACACGCGCGGTAAAATCTTTCTATTGAAGCCGGGTTTTTGTAGAACCCAACCCGGTAAACACTCGAAAACATAATAATTATCTTGCTCTCCTCCTGAACACTTTCAACAACTAAAGCAAACATAATAATACTTAAAAGGAAAAACCTTTTTGTATTTTTTTGTAATAACACTAAATCAAAATCTGCTTATCCTATGTTTTTCACGTAACAACAACAATAACGTAATAAAAATTAACTTAGAAATTCATTAACACATTTTGAATAAATCGAAACGTTGAGGTCTCACAAATTGCTCGTTTCGCGGGACAATTGTAACGTTTTAAACAATTTGAAAGTATTCGATCGCATTGACAAAGTCTGTAAGAACACGAATCTTTTCCACCAAAAAAACCATGATCAATCGCTAAAAAAAAATTTTTAGTAATAAATTGTTTTTTAAAAGTAGTTTAACTTACAGCAATGTGGGTTGTTATTTAAACACGTCCAATAATACGGAATAAAATATTCTAAAGAGTACGGACAATTAGCTACGTTATAACACCAATCGTGTTCTTTGCAACACTTATCAACACCATCAACAGGTTGTCCCGATCCTAAGAATCCACAAAAACAACCATAACCTTTATAAATCAAAGGATTACATCCGGTCGAACAAGAAATCATGTTGTATAAATTAAGAACGTTTCGTTTTTGCTTCAAATTTGTATTTCCGAGAATTTTTGATTCTCCAAATGGATTGTAAGCGTAGCTTTTATAAATTGTGGTATTTAAATCAATTGAATAACTTAAGGAAAAATTCACTAAAAAAATTAATTAATTCTATTCATCCTTTTTTGTTATAATAATAATTATAAAAGTAACCTTACCAAAGTCGCAAAGAAAAATTATCCAAAACAATCTATCAATTTTCATAGTACAAATCAAAGAAGATGTAACCACCTAAAATTAAGCCACATTTATTTTGCGAACAAAGTTTTTCTTTTAAGACTTCAAAAACACGCTCACTCAACTCATACACGCAAAAACTCTTTGAATGAAAGGAGAATCTGCTTTTCTTTTTAACTCGTTACAATTCACAATACACATAAGAGGAAAGCGTGATAATTATCATGGGGTACTTTCGTTTTTTTATATAAATCTTTTTATAATAATCTAAAAAAGTTTTAATTGTAACGATTAGTATTGTTTAAAAATAGAGTAAAATATCGATATAATGAATTAATATGGGGAAGAAAATGTCCGTTATAATCAAAATCAAGTCTAATTTTGGTTCAATACCAAATATACAACAATTTAGCGTAATCTAATGCTAATTAGTGCTATTTAACACTGTCACTAGAACTAACACTAGACCTAGAACTAGAAACATTCGGGTTTAGCCGCACGTCTCTAAAGCCGGCTAAACCCAAATGATTCTAGTTCTAGGTCTAGTGTTAGATATTTTTGATGAACGAAAAGTAGAACTAACACTAGACCTAGAACTAGAATCATTCGGGTTTAGCCGCACGTCTCTAAAGACGGCTAAACCCGAATGATTCTAGTTCTAGGTCTAGTGTTAGATCTAGTTTTAGTTTAATAGCGATATACAACAATCTAGCGTAATCTAATGCTAACTAGCGCTATCTAACACTATCACTAGAACTAACACTAGACCTAGAACTAGAATCATTCGGGTTTAGCCGTCTTGAGAGACGTGCGGCTAAACCCGAATGTTTCTAGTTCTAGGTCTAGTGTTAGTTCTGCTTTTCGTTCATCAAAAATATACAATAATCTAGTATTGAATAACAGCTAAAACTAGAACGAACACTAGACCTAGAACTAGAAATATTCGGGTTTAGCCCTCTTTAGAGACGTGCGGCTAAACCCGAATGTTTCTAGTTCTAGGTCTAGTACAAAGTTGCCAGGTCTCACGATTTATCGTGAGATCTCATGATATTACCTTTAATCTCACGATCTCACGATTTGATATGTACTTCTCAAAATTTTATTACAAAAAGAAAATAATTATTAGTGTTAATAAAATCAAAGTAAAATCATAGCATTTTCAAGTTGAAGTAAGTGAAGTTACAGGGTTCTAGATGTAGTAGCTCGTGCTGCCAACAAGTTGGCAGGCTCTGCGTTATAAAACAGAAACTTTGGTACGCAATACCTCATGCTGCCAACAAGTTGGCAGGCTCTGCGCTATAGAATAGAAGCTCTGGTGTGCAATAGCTCATGCTGCCAACAAGTTGGTAGCCTATAGGCAAAGTTACAGGGTTCTAGATGTAGTAGCTCATGCTGCCAACCAGTTGGCAGTCTCTACGCTATAGAATAGAAGCTCTGGTATGCAAAAGCTCATGCTGCCAACAAGTTGGCAGCCTATAAAAGAAGTTACAATGTTCCAAATGCAATAGCTCATGCTGCCAACAAGTTGGCAGTCTATAAACAAAGTTACAGGGTTCCAAATGTAGTAGCTCATGCTGCCAACAAGTTGGCAGGCTCTGCGCTATAGAATAGAAGCTCTGGTGTGCAATAGCTCATGCTGCCAACAAGTTGGCAGCCTATAAAGGAAGTTACAATCCTCCAAATACAATAGCTCATGCCTATAAGCGAAGTTACATGGTTGTAGATGTAGTAGCTCAACAAGTTGGCAGAATGAAAGGAAATTTTGCTTTTCTTTTTAACTCGTTACAATTCACAATACACATAAGAGGAAAGCGTTTTCGTGGTACTTTTGCTTTTTTATATAAATCTTTTTATAATAATCTAAAACTTTTAATTGTGACGATTAGTATTGTCTAAAAATATATCAAAATCTAGATACAACGGGTTAACATGAAACATATGAAACATTTTGCGTCTGAAGATGCACCGCTAAACCCGAAACTTTCTAGTTCTAGGTCTAGTGTTAATTCTAGTTTTAGTTCAATAGCAATATACAACAATCTAGCGTACTAACACTAGATTTAGTTTCTAATGTTTCTAGTTTCCAGAACTTAGAACCCGGAACTTTCTAGTTCTAGGTCTAGTGTTAGAACTAACAGTTTTAGTTATGCAGATAGGTTAAGTTATAACCTTTCAGATTTAGTAGCTCATGCTGCCAACAAATTAGCAGCCTATAAGTGAATTTAATAAAGGTTTGATATTAAAAATATGTACATTTTCTACATTTTCAACTGGTCGTTTATTAAATTATATTTATCTGACTAGTTTCAGCTTAAAAGCCAACTTCAGAGATAAAAGTCGAATAATTCAAGAAAATAACATTACGTTTGATAAATTTAACTCCAAAATTATTTAATTCTAAACTTGGAATTTTAATCCCATAAAATACGTATTAAAACACTTATTATAAAATTGACAAACGTTTTACAATATTAAAAGTGCAGTAACGATATTACTGGTAGAATGGATTACGAATTTAACTTTAATCAAGTATAAGTGAAGTTACAAGGTTCCAGATATAGTAGCTCATGCTGCCAATAAGTTGGCAGGATCTGCGCTATAAAACAGAAGCTCTGGTATGCAATAGCTCATGCCTATAAGTGATATTACAGGGTTCCAGATATAATAACTCATGCTGTCAACAAGTTGGCAGGCCCTACTCTATACAAAAGAAGCTCTGGTGTGCAATAGCTCCTATAAGCGAAGTTACAGGGTTCCAGATGTAGTAGCCCATGCTGCTAACAAGGTGGCAGGCTCTATGCTAAAGAACAAAAGCTCTAAGACAACAAGTTGGCAGCCTATAAGTGAAGTTACAGAGTTCCAGATATAGTAGCTTATTCTGCCAACAAGTTGAAAGGCTCTGCACTATATAACAGAAGCTCTAGTATGCAATAGCTCATGCTGCCAACAAGTTGACAGCCTATAAGCGATATTACAGGGTTCCAGATGTAATAGCTCATGCTGCCAACAAGTTGGCAGAATGAAAAAACATTTTGTTTTTCTTTTTAATTCGTTACAATTCACAATGCACATAAGTGGAAAGCGCTTTCATGGTAATTTCGTTCTTTTATACAGGGTGTTTCGGTGACTCGGGGAACAAATGTAACCACATATACTAGAGTGAAAATGATAACGATTTATGTAAAAAAAAATTGGTAAAAGTACTCAAACTGCAAAGATACAGGCCATCAAAGTTAGGAAATTTTAACATATTTTTCTAAATATCTTAAACACTATGTATGGTAAAACGTTAAAATTTGGTACAGTGTATAATATCACGTAAAATCATTAGGCAATTTTTGAGTTGTATCGGTACACGGGAACAATGCTATACAGGCTGTCCCAAAAGTTTGTTTGCTCTGAACTTTTTTATTCTATCATAACCCTACATTTATTTTTGCAGTTTCTAATAGTAAATTTAGTTTAGAAACTTTTATCACTCTTAGAGAATATTGATAAAATCCACCGTTTTCGTATTAAATGCAAAAATGTTAGGCTCCGAATTCAATAACACTAAAAAAAAAAAAAAAAATAATCTGAATTGGCAATGACAAGTGAAAATCGAACTGAGCTGTCATAACTATTATGTATGCAACATGTCCAAGTGTAGATTTAGCTAAATCACATTTTTAATTTGTTTTAGTTGGTTTAATAAAAGAATCCAAAAACAATAAATTAAAAATCAACAAAAAATAAACAAAAAAACGACAACACTAACAGGAATAATAAAAAAAGTACATAAAATAACAAGACAAGTAATAAAAAATACTAAAGGAAATGTTCAAAAACTTAGATTTCTTTTTTTTTAGTGCTATTATTGAAATCGGAACCCAACATTTTTGCATTTAACACGAAAACGGTGATTTTTATCAATATTATCTAAGAGTAATAAAAGTTTCTAAACTAAATTTACTATTAGAAACTGCAAAAATAAATGTAGGGTTATGATAGAATAAAAAAGTTCTGAGCAAACAAACTTTAGGAACAGCCTGTATAGCATTGTTCCCGCGGACCGATCCAACTCATAAATTGCCTAACGATTTTACATCACATTGATTTATACTGTACCAAATTTCAGTGCTTTACTGTAAATAGTGTTTAAGATATTTGAAAAAATGTGTTAAAATTTCCTAACTTTGATGGCCTGTATCTTTGAAATTTGAAGACTTTTACTAATTTTTTTTTACATGAATCGTCATCATTTTCACTCTAGTATATGTGGTTAAATTTGTTCCCCGAATCACCGAAACACCCTGTATACATGTTTTTATAATAATCTAAAAGTTTTAACTGTAACGATTAGTATTGTTTAAAAATACTTAATATCAAAATCTGGATATAACGGATTAATATGAGGAAGAGAATGTCCGTTATAGCCAAAAGTTCGTTATATGAAACATTTTGCGTCAACCACAACTCACACAACTTATGTCATCATTCCAACAACAATTCTTACAACACTAAGAATCATAAAGAGGCAGTTTTTAGATATATGATAGATAGAGCCATCAATACACCTATGAATGACCAAAATTTCAACAAAGAAATAAATTACATAATAAAGCTGGGTCTCAATAATGGTTATAACGTTGCTTATATACAAGATGTTTACAACAAGATTCAGAAACGTAATATAAGAAATATATATATCCCGCATATAAGAACGACGCATACTATCTAACAACAAATTATCACAATTCGTTCAACAAAATTGAAAAAATACTACAAGGATATGATATAAAATTAGCATACTGAAGTAACTTAAAACTATACAATCTAATTATCAACTCCAAACAAAAGATCGAAGAAAAACAAAAGAGTGGTTTATACATAGTATATTGCAGCAGTTGTGAAAAAGTATACATAGGCCAGACGGGACGTAACCTCAACGTTAGAATCAAAGAATACATATCAAAAGAAACCTCTTCTGTATTTAAACACACGTCTGAGACAGGTATAAGTTCAACAAAGATTCAATAAGACTTATTAAAGCTTCCAAAATCTAAAAAATTGGATCTATATGAAGAAATGGAAATATCTAAATATGTATAATAATACTTTACTCATGTTTTGTAGCAACAACCTGATGACGGAAACTTTTTCCGAAACCGGCAGTTGAGAACAAATAAATTTCATTCTTCGGAATTTTTAATTCATTTATATTTAACATTTACCTTTATCAAACAATTTTGCNTTGCAGCAGTTGTGAAAAAGTATACATAGGCCAGACGGGACGTAACCTCAACGTTAGAATCAAAGAATACATATCAAAAGAAACCTCTTCTGTATTTAAACACACGTCTGAGACAGGTCATAAGTTCAACAAAGATTTATTAAGACTTATTAAACAGCTTCCAAAATCTAAAAAATTGGATCTATATGAAGAAATGGAAATATCTAAATATTTCCTGATGACGCAAACTTTTTCCGAAACCGGTAGTTGAGAACAAATAAATTTCATTCTTCGGAATTTTTAATTCTTTTATATTTAACATTTACCTTTATCAAACAATTTTGCGTCTGACTGAACTTTGCGTTAGCTCTACTTTTAGTTGAATAAAAATATACAACAATTTAGCGGTTAATAACTATACTGATGTATGAAATAGATAATAACAGTAGATGTCAAGTATATCCGAAAAGATGTCAAGTTAAAAGACGTTCAATAAAGTTTTAAATCCACCCCGAAAAGAAAGAAAATTAATAATTTATTAGAAGATAAGAAAGAATTAATTGGGGCGATTATAAAAAAAAGTTTGATTGAAAAGTACTTGTACTACGCAAGATAATATCGGTTTGCCCACGCGTCCAGAACATGCGCAAACTTGCCCCACGGGATATAAATGCCGCGAACGCGCTCGAACGTTTTGAAATTTCACCCCTAAACCCCATCAAAACGACCATCACCGTCGGTCTCCCAATAATTTCATTCGACACGCCAAAAAAACATCATGAAGGTAGTCTGCAATTGGTCGATGGTGATGGTTTTATCGATGATGTTAGCTCTCATCGTTTTCACCGTCGATGTAGATGCAAAGAGTAAGTACTTTTTTAATCAAGAGATATTCCAATTCCTTTCTTTACCATCTAAAGATACACAAAAACAGTTTCATTTGGTTTTTGCTTTCTTAGAGTTTGCTTTTCGATTTTGTAAGAATAACTTTTTTGTGTATCTTGGCAATTGTTGGTTTTAACAACTCGGAACTGAAAACGAAGTAATATCGAAGCAATCAATGACGCAAATAATTTCGCGTTGAGTTTTAAGTTGTTGCATTGACAGTTTAGTTGCGTAACAATTTCTGTCATCTTTTTATATCAATAGATAACTAAAAATAACGTCCCTTATTTGCGTATAATCTAGTTTTTTATCCCTTAAAACTCATTGGAATAGAAATCAAAATAATTATTAATACAATTTCATTCATATAAATACCATTTTTGTCTATTTGAAAAAACTAATTGCTCCGTTATTATCCGAGGGTTACCAATACTTTTTTTTGAACTCCAATCTAAAATGCAAATTGCTCTCTACATACATATGCAGTGGTTTCGATAGATAGATACCAGAAAGCATTCGTGTTTGAGAGAAAATATTTGCTAACTGTGTGTTAATTTTCTTGTATGGATGATTGATTCCGAAACTCGTAAAAATTACCAATTGCAATCATGTTTGCTTTGTTTTGAACCAAAAATGAGTACATATTTAACATTGCAAAAAAAGGGGTGTAGTTCTTTGTTCATTTCCAACTTAGCTCGAGTATGAAACTATTGTAGTGTACGGATGCAGATAACAGTGGACACATGTCGATATTGAAACAGGAAAGTTTGAACTTTATGCGTTGAGACCAACAATAATTGCCCTAGTTATCAATATTAGATGAATTCACTTCGTACGTTAAAAATATATATAAAAAAGGTTAATTTTTTCATATACATTTACCTTTTTACTTATATTTCGTTCCTTTTATTTCGTTCGCATCCAAATGAATCTAAAAATAATAATTAATGATTACAACGCCATCTTTTAGGAGATTAGTACACTATATAACCTAAAAACCAATCTTACCTAAAAGATTATAATTTTCAATTTTACACTATTTTTTTATAGTTCAACATCATTTTTGCATTAAACAATCGTGGTTAAATCACTCAAATTCCCCTCAAAAACGTGTTTTAATATTGTACTGGTAACCAATAGAAACGGACACCAACACTAAAAAATAATAAATTTTTCGCCTTAAAATCCAGGTAATGTCGCTCTAAATTATAGGATAGGGCTTAATTTCTTGATGTAACTCACCTATTTAAGTTAATCAGCGATTTTTTCGGTAAAATTCTTGAAAATTTTAGGACGAAAAACGAACGTAAGCCATATTTTTTTAAACGTCGTAAACTAGCGCCATCTCTCAATAAATTAATATAACTAACTCAATTAAAAAATTAAATTTAAAACTTATTTTAATTTGTAATTTAAATAATAATTAATTTAAATGCGATATAAATTAAATTGATTGTATTTTATTTAATTATATTTTAGTTATTTTATTAAAATCCAAAGTATTTTTATAGAACGAAACTAGCGCTATCTATCAAAAAGTTAGTGCAATTAAATTAAAAAATAATTTTAATCTTTCTTTTTAATAAATATTAAAACGCTTGATTTGTTAACAATACTTCCACTACGATGTAAACTTCTCTTGAAACATTAAACTTGTGATACTACTAAGTGTATTAGAAGTTTGTGTCTGGGGAGAATCTAATAACATGATGTATTGCCAACTTTGTAAAATACAGTTAAAAATTTCACAATTTACGAAATGAAACGTTAATATTTAAGGAGAAATTTTTCAATTTGAAATGGGGAAACGAGTTCAAATGGAATAGCAAAGATGCAATCTTTTAGGAACGATTAGTCGTACGAATCACCAATGATTACTACCCGGATTTTCAATTTACACGTTGAGGAAACGAATCAAATCACATTTTTTCCCTCATGTTTGAATATTTTCAAAAACCCCCCACACGCGATGTTTAAAACATCGAACGTACCGTTTTCACAAAACTACAAAAATCGTTTTTATTGTTATTTCCCGCGATATGCGTAACATGATTTCGGTTCGTGAGGGGATTTTGTATTCAAGCGTTTACATATAAAATTGTTATTTCGCGACATTTACTTTGTTGAGTTTAGGAGAATAATATCCGGTCATTTCCAAAACCGATACTGTTTGGAAAAGTGACCACGAGACGTTGCACAACTTATATTAAACAGATTTCTAAAGTTCCAAGTTCTAAACAAACAGGCGAAAACAAATGTATACAAGGAAATTTGCAAGCACGGGACTACAATGGGTTTATTGGTCTTGTATTTTATTGATTGAGTTCGATGATTGTTGTGTGGTTTGGTTAAAAGATTGCATCAACAGGAAATGAATGTGGTTTGAATTCGAAGCTTTCAATGAATTTCTAGTTGAATGGGACTAAATTAGTGAATGAAAATGAGGTTTCTTAGAATTTATGTATTAGAATGTTACTATGAAACTTAACCTAATCATTTTTGTTGATATTAACATTGTTTCTTAATTTATACAGTTTTTTGTTAAAGAATTGTTGATTTTCAATCAAGTGAAGAAACGTCAAATTAAACCCAAACTTTAAATACTCATCCAGATCGTATTTATGGGAATTAAGAAATGATTAATATATCAAATTAAAGTTTGAAATCTCCTTTTTAATTTGATATAAACAACATTTCCCTATTAACTCAACCTAAGTAGATACTTTTATTTAAAGGTTATGTTGTAATCGAAAAATTTATTTCAAACAACAACTTTAATAAATCGTGTAGACTACATTTATGGGAATTAAAAAATGGGTTATGATCGAAATTAAACTTTAAATTATCCTCTTTAATTTGGTATAAGAATCATTTCTTGCTTTGCATAAATAAATTAGTGATAAAGTTTTTAAAAAAATGTGTTGATTTTCAATCAAGTGGAGAAACGTCAAATTAAACCCAAACTTTAAATACTCATACAGGTCGTATTTATGGGAACTAAGAAATGATTCATACACCAAATTAAAGTTTGAAATCTCCTTTTTAATTTGATATAAACATCATTTCCTTATTAACACAACCTAAGTAGATACATTTATTTAAAGGTTATGTTGTAATCGAAAAATATTAATTTCAAACAACAACTTTAATAAATCGTGTAGATTGCATTTATGGGAATTAAAAAATGGGTTATGATCGAAATTAAACTTTAAATTATCCTCTTTAATTTGGTATAAGGATCATTTCTTGCTTTGTATAAATAAATTAGTTATAAAGTTTTTAAAAAAATGTGTTGATTTTCAATCAAGTGGAGAAACGTCAAATTAAACCCAAACTTTAAATACTCATACAGGTCGTATTTATGGGAACTAAGAAATGATTATATATATATCAAAATAAAGTTTGAAATCTCCTTTTTAATTTGATATAAACATCATTTCCTTATTAACACAACCTAAGTAGATGCATTTATTTAAAGGTTATGTTGTAATCGAAAAATATTTATTTCAAACAACAACTTTAATAAATCGTGTAGATTGCATTTATGGGAATTAAAAAATAGGTTATGAACGAAATTAAACTTTAAATTATCCTCTTTAATTTGGTATAAGGATCATTTTTTGCTTTGTATAAATAAATTAGTTATAAAGTTTTTAAAAAAATGTGTTGATTTTCAATCAAGTGGAGAAACGTCAAATTAAACCCAAACTTTAAATACTCATCCAGATCGTATTTATGGGAACTAAGAAATAATTTATGCACCAAATTAAAGTTTGAAATCTCCTTTTTAATTTGATATAAACATCATTTCCTTATTAACTCAGCCTAAGTAGATACATTTATTTAAAGGTTATGTTGTAATTGAAAAATATTAATTTCAAACAACAACTTTAATGAATCGTGTAGATTGCATTTATGGGAATTCAAAAATGGGTTATGATGGAAATTAAACTTTAAATTATCCTCTTTAATTTGGTATAAGGACCGTTTCTTACTTTGTATAAATAAATTAGTTATAAAGTTTTTAAAAAAATGTGTTGATTTTCAATCAAGTGGAGAAACGTCAAATTAAACCCAAACTTTAAATACTCATCCAGATCGTATTTATGGGAATTAAGAAATGATTCATATATCAAATTAAAGTTTGAAATCTCCTTTTTAATTTGATATAAACAACATTTCCTTATTAACTCAACCTAAGTAGATACATTTATTTAAAGGTTATGTTGTAATTGAAAAATATTAATTTCAAACAACAACTTTAATAAATCGTGTAGATTGCATTTATGGGAATTAAAAAATGGGTTATGATCGAAATTAAACTTTAAATTATCCTCTTTAGTTTGGTATAAGGGTCATTTTTTACTTTGTATAAATAAAGTAGTTATAAAGTTTTTAAAAAAATGTGTTGATTTTCAATCAAGTGGAGAAACGTCAAATTAAACCCAAACTTTAAATACTCATACAGGTCGTATTTATGGGAACTAAGAAATGATTCATACACCAAATTAAAGTTTGAAATCTCCTTTTTAATTTGATATAAACATCATTTCCTTATTAACATAACCCAAGTAGATACATTTATTTAAAGGTTATGTTGTAATTCAAAAATATTAATTTCAAACAACAACTTTAATGAATCGTGTAGATTGCATTTATGGGAATTCAAAAATGGGTTATGATCCAAATTAAACTTTAAATTGTCCTCTTTAATTTGATATAAGGATCATTTCTTACTTTGTATAAATAAAGTAGTTATAAAGTTTTTAAAAAAATGTGTTGATTTCCAATCAAGTGGGGAAACGTCAAATTACACCGAAACTTTAAATACTCATTCAGATCGTATTTATGGGAACTAAGAAATGATTCATACACCAAATTAAAGTTTGAAATCTCCTTTTTAATTTGATATAAACATCATTTCCTTATTAACATAACCCAAGTAGATACATTTATTTAAAGGTTATGTTGTAATCGAAAAATATTAATTTCAAACACCAACTTTAATAAATCGTGTAAATCGCATTTGTGGGATTCAAAAGTGGGTTATGATCCAAATTAAACTTTAAATTGTCCTCTTTAATTTGGTATAAGGATCATTTCTTGCTTTGTATAAATAAATTAGTTATAAAGTTTTAAAAAAAATGTGTTGATTTTCAATCAAGTGGAGAAACGTCAAATTAAACCCAAATATTAAATACTTATCCAGATCGTATTTATCGGAGCTAAGAAATGATTCATACACCAAATTAAAGTTTGGAATCTCCTTTTTAATTTGATATAAACATCATTTCCTTATTAACATAACCTAAGTAGATACATTTATTTAAAGGTTATGTTGTAATCGAAAAATATTAATTTCAAACAACAACTTTAATAAATCGTGTAGATTGCATTTATGGGAATTCAAAAATGGGTTATGATCGAAATTAAACTTTAAATTATCCTCTTTAATTTGGTATAAGGATCATTTCTTGCTTTGTATAAATAAATTAGTTATAAAGTTTTTAAAAAAATGTGTTGATTTTCAATCAAGTGGAGAAACGTCAAATTAAACCCAAACTTTAAATACTCATACAGGTCGTATTTATGGGAACTAAGAAATGATTCATACACCAAATTAAAGTTTGAAATCTCCTTTTTAATTTGATATAAACATCATTTCCTTATTAACATAACCTAAGTAGATACATTTATTTAAAGGTTATGTTGTAATTGAAAAATATTAATTTCAAACAACAACTTTAATAAATCGTGTAGATTGCATTTATGGGAATTAAAAAATAGGTTATGATCGAAATTAAACTTTAAATTATCCTCTTTAATTTGGTATAAGGGTCATTTTTTGCTTTGTATAAATAAATTAGTTATAAAGTTTTTAAAAAAATGTGTTGATTTTCAATCAAGTGGAGAAACGTCAAATTAAACCCAAACTTTAAATATTCATCCAGATCGTATTTATGGGAACTAAGAAATGATTCATATATCAAAATAAAGTTTGAAATCTCCTTTTTAATTTGATATAAACATCATTTCCTTATTAACATAACCTAAGTAGATACGTTTATTTAAAGGTTATGTTGTAATCGAAAAATATTAATTTCAAACAACAACTTTAATGAATCGTGTAGATTGCATTTATGGGAATTCAAAAATGGGTTATGATCGAAATTAAACTTTAAATTATCCTCTTTAATTTGGTATAAGGATCATTTCTTGCTCTGTATAAATAAATTAGTTATAAAGTTTTTAATAAAATGTGTTGATTTTTAATCAAGTGGAGAAACGTCAAATTAAACCCAAACTTTAAATACTCATACAAGTCGTATTTATGGGAACTAAGAAATGATTCATACACCAAATTAAAGTTTGAAATCCCCTTTTTAATTTGATATAAACATCATTTCCTTATTAACTCAACCTAAGTAGATACTTTTATTTAAAGGTTATGTTGTAATCGAAAAATTTATTTCAAACAACAACTTTAATAAATCGTGTAGATTGCATTTATGGGAATTAAAAAATGGATTATGATCGAAATTAAACTTTAAATTATCCTCTTTAATTTGATATAAGGATCGTTTCTTACTTTGTATAAATAAAGTAGTTATAAAGTTTTTAAAAAGATGTGTTGATTTTCAATCAAGTGGAGAAACGTCAAATTAAATCCAAACTTTAAACATTCATCCAGATCGTATTTATGGGAACTAAGAAATGATTGATACATCAAAATAAAGTTTAAAATCTCCTTTTTAATTTGATATAAACATCATTTCCTAATTAACATAATCTGGGAAGATACATTTAATAAAAGATAATGTTGTAAAATATCAATTTCGTTTGGAATAAATAAATTGTACAACTTGTGATGGTAAAATGAAGTAATTAAAAAGTTTTAATCCCGCCAGTCGATCGACGTTCTTAATTATTCTTAAAATCGGTTAAATCCTCACCAAATTAGTAACTTGCAGATNTTAACACAACCTAAGTAGATACATTTATTTAAAGGTTATGTTGTAATCGAAAAATATTAATTTCAAACAACAACTTTAATAAATCGTGTAGATTGCATTTATGGGAATTTAAAAATGGGTTATGATCGAAATTAAACTTTAAATTGTCCTCTTTAATTTGATATAAGGATCGTTTCTTACTTTGTATAAATAAAGTAGTTATAAAGTTTTTAAAAAAATGTGTGATTTTCAATCAAGTGGAGAAACGTCAAATTAAACCCAAACTTTAAATACTCATACAGGTCGTATTTATGGGAACTAAGAAATGATTCATACACCAAATTAAAGTTTGAAATCTCCTTTTTAATTTGATATAAACATCATTTCCTTCTTAACTCAACCTAAGTAGATACATTTAATAAAAGATAATGTTGTAAAATATCAATTTCGTTTGGAATAAATAAATTGTACAACTTGTGATGGTAAAATGAAGTAATTAAAAAGTTTTAATCCCGCCAGTCGATCGACGTTCTTAATTATTCTTAAAATCGGTTAAATCCTCACCAAATTAGTAACTTGCAGATTCCAAGAATAGAGAAGCTGGTTAAGAAGAGATTTTCCTAAATACACCAAACAAAATTCGACCTTCTTAGCTCTGAATACGAAAACGTAATCCGGAAACAAATAAAGATCTTTTGGATTAAATCTTCCCGGGTTACTAAATCATTTTACATACCCCTTTCTTAATACGAAAATTCAACACCTAAAACTTAAACGATCTAAACTACACCTATATTAAGGATAAGCTAATCTTAAATATGAAAGTAGTTACATTTTAATTATGAAGCGTGGTTTATAATAAATGGATGAGCTAATTTAGATAACCTGTAATGGTTTAGTTTCGTATAATTTTGATTTATTAGTTTGTCACATCCCCTGGATGTCGATAAACCAAACAATTAGGGTTAATTTAACACGTCATCGCTTCCATTTACGTGATGGATCCAATTTTTGAGCGAAACAATCTAAAGAAATCCACCAAAATCAACATATTCGTGCCATATATTTTTATGGATAGCTTTAAAAAATTTTATTCCATTTATTTTATATTTTCTCTCGACGTGAACAATTGTTTTGATGTTTTACTATCATCCAGCTTTTATACTTTACAACTCCCGTTTCCGCCGCAAGTCAAAATCTTTATTTACCTGTTCCTGGTTGAAAACACCCTCGGAATCGCCCTTTGGTTTTTAATTGAGAAGAAAACTCGATTAAGCCCCGTCTTAAAGCTTTTAAACAATTAAAAACCTCTTTGATACTCTAAAATTGTGGGAAGGCAATTTTAATTAAATCAAATCGTTATTATGTTTTTTTCTTGTTTACAGGAGGCTGTAAAAGCTACGGTCATTCATGTTACGGCGGTGTCGGTAAGCGAAATTCCGATGAAATTAACGAGGAGGTCTTAGATGATGTCCAAATCGATGAAAATCCGGAATTCGTCTTAACCGCAAGCAATTTATCACCACTTTTTAGGCAATGGGTAATTTATTAATGTTGTGATTTAAAAGAGTTTAATTAATTAATAATTTTTCGATTTCCAGTTAAGAGTGTTTAGAAATTTAAGGGAATTACAAGCTAATTTAAGAAAATGAAATAAATAAGTATTAATAAAAATTATTGCAATATTAATAAATAATGTCAATTTGTGATTAAGTTAAAATTTATCGATGTAATAACGGTGTTATAATTATTAAATAATGAAATAAAAACTTAATTGGCTGGAATTTATATTTTATTTTAATTATAGGTAAGAATCCTTGTTATTATGTCTTGATGAAAAAGCGATCTATTAAATTATAGGTTAATAGTCGAAAATGTTTAAAATCGATTTGAACCTAACTTCACACTTAATTATTACTTAATTATTAATTTTCAATCAATAATAATTAAAATTAATCATTTTTGATTAAACTTTATGTATTAAATAAATTTTTATTAAAACTTTACTTTTTACATAAAAATAATTAATTAAATGACTAATTTCACACCAAAACAAAATTATAACCTTAATCGATTTATCATTACCCCATTTCAACAAAAAGAAATATTAAGAACTTTAAGATAATAATCTCGTTCGCCTAGAAAACTACATATTATTATTATTATTACATCTATAAATAGTTTTATTTTGAAAGACGTAAGTAAAGAAGATAAGAAACTCTAAAAAACCAGTTGTCTTTCTTTCCTTCTTTCTTCATTTCGTGTAAATAAAAAATTATTTATCTCAGTTCAACTTTAACTTTCGATAAACTTGAAAGCGATTCCTCACACAGTTTTAAACCAAATTACAACTCTATTTTAGTTACAATTAATAAAAAGGGAGGAAATGGATAACGAGGAGCTGTAAGATTTATTTAAGAACCCCTTTATTGAAATAACAATATTTGATAAATTTATTTTTAATAAATTAATCTAATTTCAAGTGATTTTTAGTTCAGCCTCGGATTCGTACCAAATTTTTGATATTCGAGATGTTCCTGGATTCTTTTGCGTAGGTGAGAGCAGTTACGAAGGATTTCGGAATACTATGACTTCTTTACGATCTTTAATGCTTTTAAGTAAGTAATTTATTTTATAAAATAAACGTTTGATATAAGGGAAAAATTCAAGAATCATCATGTGGCTTAAAAATCAACTTTTAATGTGATATCACAAGTAATGTAACCATGTATTTAACCTAAACCTAACCTACAAAGTCTTTGTTTTATAGGCAAGCACAAAATCAATTTGATAAAGTTAAAAGTAAAGTTATTTTCACTAAATTACAGTTCATTTTTATTCTATAATAGCTGTCAAATTGTTGTAAAGTTGGCAAAATTAACAGGGAGTTTTGTTTTATCATGTTTTGAAATAAATATGTCACACTGACGTTTGAGCTTTCGTTATTCAAAAGGAAAAGGTGCATAAAAAACGTTGTGGGGTGTTTATTTGCCATTTATTTACCTAGCACGTTTTTAGATAATAAATATGTACTTGGTTAAAATCGTATTTATCTAAAAATTGATTAGTATTTTAACCTCAACTATTTAGTTACTGAAAATGTTACTAAAAATCAGGAAAACAACATAAATTGAAAAAATGTAGTTTATAAATAAGAATAAAAGTAGAAAACTACTTTACCGACATTGAGATCGATACACAATGGCGTACAAACGTGCTTAACAGAATTCTTACAATCAGAGCTTATTATTAAGGTAGAACTGGGTTATTTCAAATATATTATTTTAAAGAAGTGTAAAATGTCATCCTCAATTTTGACATATTTGGAATTTTCATTAAAAATCCTTTAAAGTGAGTACAAACACGACATATTTATTTTCAATATTAATGAAGTTATGGTTAACTTCCGGTTAGAAATGTCAACCTCAATTTTGACATATTTATCGTGAAAAATCCTTCAAAATGGGCCCAAACATGATAAATTTAATTCCAGTATTACTCGAGATGTAATTTTGAATCACTTGTAATAGCTTTGGAGCAATTTTAAAACATTTAATCACCTTGAGCAACTTTTCCAAGTTATAAACGTATTTTGAACAACTTTAGATGCAATTTTTAATCGTTTTGAATAACTTGGAACTGTAATGTACCAGTTCTGAATAACTTAGACAGCTTTGAATCATTACCAATTGGTTATTAATCACTTTGAACAACTTTTTCATCTTGTAAATGAATTTTGATCAACTTTAAATGCAGTTTTTAATTGTTTTATACAACTTGGANGACTTCTTTACGATCTTTAATGCTTTTAAGTAAGTAATTTATTTTATAAAATAAACGTTTGATATAAGGGAAAAATTCAAGAATCATCATGTGGCTTAAAAATCAACTTTTAATGTGATATCACAAGTAATGTAACCATGTATTTAACCTAAACCTAACCTACAAAGTCTTTGTTTTATAGGCAAGCACAAAATCAATTTGATAAAGTTAAAAGTAAAGTTATTTTCACTAAATTACAGTTCATTTTTATTCTATAATAGCTGTCAAATTGTTGTAAAGTTGGCAAAATTAACAGGGAGTTTTGTTTTATCATGTTTTGAAATAAATATGTCACAGTGACGTTTGAGCTTTCGTTATTCAAAAGGAAAAGGTGCATAAAAAACGTTGTGGGGTGTTTATTTGCCATTTATTTACCTAGCACGTTTTTAGATAATAAATATGTACTTGGTTAAAATCGTATTTATCTAAAAATTGATTAGTATTTTAACCTCAACTATTTAGTTACTGAAAATGTTACTAAAAATCAGGAAAACAACATAAATTGAAAAAATGTAGTTTATAAATAAGAATAAAAGTAGAAAACTACCTTACCGACAAAGAGATCGATACACAATGGCGTACAAACGTGCTTAACAGTATTCTTACAATCAGAGCTTATTATCTTGTTATTAAGGTAGAACTGGGTTATTTCAAATATATTATTTTAAACAAGTGTAAAATGTCATCCTCAATTTTGACATATTTGGAATTTTCATTAAAAATCTTTTAAAGTGAGTACAAAAACGACATATTTATTTTCAATATTAATGAAGTTATGGTTAACTTCCGGTTAGAAATGTCAACCTCAATTTTGACCTATTTATTCCAGTATTACTCGAGATGCAATTTTGAATCACTTGTAATAGCTTTGAAGCAATTTTAAAACATTTAGACATGTTTTGAATCATTACCAACGCATTTTTATTCACCTTGTGCAACATTTCCAAGTCAACGTATTTTGAACAACTTTAGATGCAGTTTCTAATCGTTTTGAATAACTTGGAACTGTAATGTACCAGTTCCGAATAAGTTAGACAAGCTTTTAATCATTACCAATTGGTTCTTAACCACTTTGAATAACTTTTTCATCTTGTAAATGAATTTTGATCAACTTTAAATGCAGTTTTTAATTGTTTTATACAACTTGGAACGGTAACGAACTTGTTCTTAATCATTTAGACAAGTTTTCGATAACACCAAATTAGTTTTCAGTAATTTTAAACGGCTTTGGAGCAATTTTAAAACATTTAGACAAGTTTTGAATCATTACCAACGCATTTTTAATCACTTTGAGCAACTTTTCCAAGTCATAAACGTGTTTTGAACAACTTTAGAGGCAGTTTTTAATCGTTTTGAATAACTTGGAACTGTAATGTACCAGTTCCGAATAAGTTAGACAGGCTTTTAATCATTACCAATTGGTTCTTAACCACTTTGAACAACTTTTTCATCTTGTAAATGAATTTTGATTAACTTTAAATGCAGTTTTTAATTGTTTTATACAACTTGGAACGGTAACGAACTTGTTCTTAATCATGTAGACAAGTTTTCGATAACACCAAATTAGTTTTCAGTAATTTTAAACGGCTTTGGAGCAATTTTAAAACATTTAGACAAGTTTTGAATCATTACCAACGCATTTTTAATCACTTTGAGCAACTTTTCCAAGTTATAAACGTATTTTGAACAACTTTGGATGCAGTTTTTAATCGTTTTGAATTACTTGGAACTGTAATGTACCAGTTCCGAATAAGTTAGACAAGCTTTTAATCATTACCAATTGGTTCTTAATCACTTTGAACAACTTTTACATCTTGTAAATGAATTTTGATCAACTTTAAATGCAGTTTTTAATTGTTGTATACAACTTGGAACGGTAACGAACTTGTTCTTAATCATTTAGACAAGTTTTCGATAACACCAAATTAGTTTTCAGTAATTTTAAACGGCTTTGGAGCAATTTTAAAACATTTAGACAAGTTTTGAATCATTACCAACGCATTTTTAATCACTTTGAGCAACTTTTCCAAGTTATAAACGTGTTTTGAACAACTTTAGATGTAGTTTTTAATCGTTTTGAATAACTTGGAACTAATGTACCAGTTCCCAATAAGTTAGACAAGCTTTTAATCATTACCAATTGGTTCTTAATCACTTTGAACAACTTTTTCATCTTGTAAATGAATTTTGATCAACTTTAAATGCAGTTTTTAATTGTTTTATACAACTTGGAACGGTAACGAACTTGTTCTTAATCATTTAGACAAGTTTTCGATAACACCAAATTAGTTTTCAGTAATTTTAAACGACTTGTAATAGCTTTGGAGCAATTTTAAAACATTTAGAGATATTTTGAATCATTACCAACGCATTTTTAATCACTTTGAGCAACTTCTTCACGTTGTAAACGTGTTTTGAACAACTTTAGATGCAGTTTAGATTGTTTTGAATAATTTGGAACTGTAATGTACCACTTTGCAATAAGTTAGACAAGTTTTTAATCATTACCAATTGGTTCTTAATCACTTTGAACAATTTTTTCAGTTTGTAAATGAATTTTGAGTTGTCCATTTGTCTATTATATGATAACTAACTTCAGGTGTAAAATGTCAACCTCAATTTTGACATATTTGTAATCTTCATTAAAAATCCTTTAAAATGAGTACAAACACGACATATTTATCTTCAATATTAATGAAGTTATGGTCAACTTCCGGTTAAGAATGTCAACGTCAATTTTGACATATTTGTAATCGTCGTGAAAAATCCTTTAAAATGAGTCCAAACATGATACGTTTAATTCCAATATTACTCGAGATATAAGCAACTTCCGGTTTGAAATGTCAATGTCATTTTGACATATTCTTAATTTTTATAAAATGTCTTAATATTTGTCACAAAAACAAAAATATAAAAAAAAAAAATCAAAAATTAAGGTTGGTATTAATATTTAAAAATTAAATTGCTATCTTCATTGTTGCTAACTTCGGGTTTAATGTTTTTTATTCTAACTTTTTTGTTTTTTGAGATAAGTACGTCATGTTTGGACACATTTTAAGGTTTTTTTTAATAAAAAATGCATCATGGAAGAACACCACGAAGTTGTCCATTTCTTTATTATATGATAAGTAACTTCAGGTGTAAAATGTCAACCTCAATTTTGACATAGTTTTTGATTTGAAATGTCAATGTCATTTTGATATATTCTTAATTTTTATTCAATGTCTTAAAATTTGTCACAAAAACGAAAATATAATTAAAAAAAAAACAGAAATTTAGGTTGGTATTAATATTTTTAAATTAAATTGACATTTTCATTGTTGCTAACTTCGGGTTTAATGTTTTTTATTCTAACTTTTTTGTTTTTTGAGATAAGTACGTCATGTTTGGACACATTTTAAGGTTTTTTTTAATAAAAAATGCATCATGGAAGAACACCACGAAGTTGTCCATTTCTTTATTATATGATAAGTAACTTCAGGTGTAAAATGTCAACCTCAATTTTGACATAGTTTTTGATTTGAAATGTCAATGTCATTTTGATATATTCTTAATTTTTATTCAATGTCTTAAAATTTGTCACAAAAACGAAAATATAATTTAAAAAAAAACAGAAATTTAGGTTGGTATTAATATTTTTAAATTAAATTGACATTTTCATTGTTGCTAACTTCGGGTTTAATGTTTTTTATTCTAACTTTTTTGTTTTTTGAGATAAGTGCGTCATGTTTGGACTCATTTTAAAGGTTATTTAATAAAGATTACGAATATAATAATAAAATTAAAGTTGACATTAACACCTGAAAGTTTTTTCAACAAAACTATACCACAATATAACGCTAAATACATTTAAAACTAACACTAGAACTAGAAAGTATCGGGGTTAGCTATGCGTCGGAAGATTAAAAAACAGGGATAGTTTTTATTTACCTTGGAAAAATAATTATTGAAGTTTATTTTACTTCTTCCCTTTTAGTTCTTTATTTATTGTCTGCCATATAGCCTTGTTGTATTGCTGGTATTGTTAATGCTAAATAGAAGATAGTCATAATTTGCCATTGATTGATCTCTAGTATGCTCATCATTCAAAAGGTAGTTATGGGAGATTCTGGACGTTATGTAATCTTGATTGACTGTTTTGCGAAGTTACTTAGGGGCCAATTTTTGGACCTCTCCTCTCCTTGTGTGTATTAAGGATCTATCAAAATCGCTTACTTGTGATACATGATAATAATTAAGTCAGGAGTCAATTAATTACCTAACCAAACATTCTCAGCTTTATGATGTACTTGTTCTGAGGGGCATCGTAGCTCAATGTATGGAATGGGTTGGGTTGGGTTGCGACCTAGAACTAGAAACATTCGTCTGAAGACACAGAATGATATCACTCAATAGAAGAATAGTTTCAGTAAATAGTCTTCAGCCAGTAGTATTGTAATCTCCAAGCACTTAGTAGTGTTTTGGCAGCTGTATACAGTCTTCTGAAAGCATTAAATAGTCTTTGCCAACAATATCTAGCTTTATCTAAACAAGTAGTAGTCTTTCCAACAATCTTTAGCATTCTGAAAGTAGTTAAAAGTCTTTTGGAAACAGTATCTTATCTTTCCAAGCAGATAATAATTTATTCCGGCCGTATTTAGGCTTCTCCAAGCAGGTCGTAATCTTTTTCACCAGTATCTAGCATTTTGGAAGCAGAAGGTACCTTTTTTGGAGAGCATATTTCTTCTTTTCAAGTAGTTATTAGTCTTTTCCAGTAGTATTTAGCATTCTGGCAGCATTATTTAGCCCTTTGGGAAGCATATCTCTTTGCCCCTAGCATGTTCTCTCAGGTTGCTGGTACATTCTCTGATCAATGTGGATTTTTACGTATGAATTGTCTTTAGGGCAGCCCAACTGTCTGCGAAAATGTTTATGGATGCACCTTTCTGCCACTTTTCTAGATTCAAAACGGTGCTGAAGTTTATAGCAAAAACTTCTGCTCGAAAAATGGTTATATCCGAGCTGAGGGGTAACTTAATATGGCTATTTGGCGACATTATGATTCTTGAATTATACCGATATAAGTTTCTTATTTAACATTTTTTAGATGACAGTTCTAATGTTGAAGATTCTTCGATTTCGAGGAGGTTATCTTTAGCTTACGAACGGTTACATTCAATGCCGAAAATATTACAAAGACAGCTCGCACCGGGAATACAAATTTTAGATATAAGTAACAACGAATTTGAAAAGTTGGATTTTTTGGAGGATTTTAATGAATTGACGACGTTGATTTGCGATCATAACCTAATTAGTTCGGATACGGAAATTCCTTTTTTACCAAAATTAGAATTGCTGTGGTTAAATCATTGCAAGGTGATTAATATTTTAGAAATTTTTAATTAATTTAATTCTTTAATATCGTTTTAGATACAAAATTTATATCCCTGGGCGAATAAACTTCAACAATCATGTCCTAATCTCAAATTTTTATCTTTAATGGGTAACCCCGCGGCGCCTTCTTACTTTAACGGAGGAAATTTCTACGATTATTTACAATATCGTTACTTTATCATTTCGTTATTTCCGAATCTCATTCATTTAGATGATCGCGTCGTAACCGACGATCAAAGAGAGGAAGCTCAAAAACTTTATAAGCGACCATTTTACGAGCAATTAATTACCAGGACGAGTTTACCGATGTGTTTGAGAAGTGTTAAGAACAAAGTTCAAAACATGCTTTCTACCACACCGCAATTTGCACAAAATCGAAATAAAAATTGCGTTATTTAATAATTTCTGCTAAATGAGTTGCCTATATAATGTTTTTATTTATTAAATTTATTTATTAATCAATTAATTAATTACCAAGACGAGTTTACCAATGTGTTAAGAACAAAGTTCAAAACATACTTTCGACCACACCGCAATTTACACAAAATCGAAATAAAAATTGCGTTGTTTAAAAATTTCTGCTAAATGGGTTGCCTATATAATTTTTTATTTATTAATCAATTAATTAATTACCAGGACGAGTTTACCGATGTGTTTGAGAAGTGTTAAGAACAAAGTTCAAAACATATTTTCGACCACACCGCAATTTACACAAAATCGAAATAAAAATTGCGTTATTTAAAATTTTTTGCTAAATGGGTTGCCTATATATACTTTTTATTTATTAAATTTTATTTATTAATCAATTAAGATGATTGACATCTTTCATAATAAAATAATTTAACCTTAATGTGGCGTTTTTGTGTCAAATCAATTCAAAAAAACGTCTCTCTTTTCGGTATCTTTCGTTTAGTCGCTAAAAAATTGTCCAGTTTTCGTCACAAATCGAAGAAGATATTTAATTGACCTTTTGAAGTGACCCGCAATCATCCAATTTAAGACGAATAACTCCAAAATACTGTTACAAATGCAGTCGTTCTTAGAGTTAAGCTTGAACCACAATGTCCCTGACTAATATTTTGCCTAGTTTATATGAATACTATGCCGGCGCCGGTGCAATAACGAGCGGTTTAAACATTGATAAACCTTATTTTACGTTAAACGATAAAAACATAACGATTCTAAGCGGAGCATTTCATTATTTTCGAGTACCAAAAGAGTATTGGAGTGATCGTTTGAGAAAAATGAGAGCATCTGGTTTAAATACTGTTGAGACTTACGTACCATGGAACTTGCACGAACCCGAAGAAGGCGTTTTTGATTTCGGCGCGGGTGGAAGCGATTTTCAAGAATTTTTAGACATTCAAAAATTTTTAGAATTAGCTAAAGAGGAGGATTTATTCGCAATTGTTCGTCCGGGGCCTTATATATGTTCCGAATGGGAATTTGGAGGGCTCCCTTCTTGGTTACTTCGTTATAAAGGGTTAAAAGTTCGTACATCGGAGCAAACCTTCATGCAAAAAGTTACCAATTACTTTAACGTTTTAATCCCGATATTGGCAATGTTGCAATTTACGAAAGGAGGCCCGATTATTGCGGTTCAAGTTGAAAATGAATATGGGAGTACTTCCGAACCGGGGAGATTCGTTCCAGATAAGATTTATTTGGAACAATTAAGACGGTTGTTGATTCGAAATGGGATAGAGGAGTTATTATTTACTTCGGATTCGCCAACGGCTCATGGAGATGAAGGTACTTTACCGGGAGTTTTATTTCAAACGGCGAATTTCGCTTCAAACCCAGAAAAAGAATTCGAAGCACTTTTAAAACTTCAAGGTAAAAATCATTTTTAATTCAAACCTTATTATATTCTATTTTTTTAATTCGGAGGAGTAAAATGAAAAGTCAGGTTTTTTTAAATAAAAAATACATCATGAAAGAACACCATGAAGTTGTCAATTTGTTCATTATATGATAACTAACTTCAGGTTACAACCTCAATTTTGACATATTTGTAATCTTCATTAAAAATCCTTTAAAATGAGCCCAAACATGATACGTTTAATTTCAATATTACTCGAGATATAAGCAACTTCCGGTTTGAAATGTCAATGTTATTTTGATATATTCTTAATTTTTATAAAATGTCTTAAAATTTGCCACAAAAACAAAAATATAATTAGAATTAATTATATGATTAAAGAGGATTTATATTCTTTTAATNTTTTACGAGTAATTAATTTCCAGGATGAGTTTACCAATATGTTTGAGAAGTGTAAAGAACAAAGTTCAAAAGATATTTTCGACCACACCGCAATTTACACAAAATCGAAATAAAAACTGTTATTTAAAAATTTCTGCTAAATGGGTTGCCTATATATATATTTTTTATTTATTAATCAATTAATTAATTACCAGGGCGAGGTTACCGATGTGCTTTAGAAGTGCTAAGAACAAAGTTCAAAACATATTTTCGACCACACCGCAATTTACACAAATTCAAAATAAAAATTGTGTTATTTAAAAATTTCTGCTAAATGGGTTGCCTATATAATGTTTTTATTTATTAAATTTATTTATTAATGAATTAATTAATTACCAGGGCGAGTTTACCGATGTGTTTTAGAAGTGTTAAGAACAAAGTCCAAAACATATTTTCGACCACACCGCAATTTACACAAAATCGAAATAAAAATGGTGTTATTTAAAAATTTCTGCCAAATGGGTTGCCTATATAATATTTTTATTTATTAAATTTATTTATTAATCAATTAATTAATAACCAGAACGAATTTACGATGTGTTTGAGAAGTGTTAAGAACAAAGTTCAAAACATATTTTCGACCACACCGCAATTTACACAAATTCAAAATAAAAATTGTGTTATTTAAAAATTTCTGCTAAATGGGTTGCCTATATAATGTTTTTATTTATTAAATTTATTTATTAATGAATTAATTAATTACCAGGACGAGTTTACCGATGTGTTAAGAACAAAATTCAAAACATACTTTCGACCACACCGCAATTTACACAAAATCGAAATAAAAATTGTTTTATTTAAAAATTTCTGCTAACTGGGTTGCCTATATAATGTTTTTATTTATTAAATTTTATTTATTAATCAATTAAGATGATTGACATCTTTCATAATAAAAGAATTTAACCTTAATGTGGCGTTTTTGTGTCAAATCAATTCAAAAAAACGTCTCTCTTTTCGGTATCTTTCGTTTAGTCGCTAAAAAATTGTCCAGTTTTCGTCACAAATCGAAGAAGATATTTAATTGACCTTTTGAAGTGACCCGCAATCATCCAATTTAAGACGAATAACTCCAAAATACTGTTACAAATGCAGTCGTTCTTAGAGTTAAGCTTGAACCACAATGTCCCTGACTAATATTTTGCCTAGTTTATATGAATACTATGCCGGCGCCGGTGCAATAACGAGCGGTTTAAACATTGATAAACCTTATTTTACGTTAAACGATAAAAACATAACGATTCTAAGCGGAGCATTTCATTATTTTCGAGTACCAAAAGAGTATTGGAGTGATCGTTTGAGAAAAATGAGAGCATCTGGTTTAAATACTGTTGAGACTTACGTACCATGGAACTTGCACGAACCCGAAGAAGGCGTTTTTGATTTCGGCGCGGGTGGAAGCGATTTTCAAGAATTTTTAGACATTCAAAAATTTTTAGAATTAGCTAAAGAGGAGGATTTATTCGCAATTGTTCGTCCGGGGCCTTATATATGTTCCGAATGGGAATTTGGAGGGCTCCCTTCTTGGTTACTTCGTTATAAAGGGTTAAAAGTTCGTACATCGGAGCAAACCTTCATGCAAAAAGTTACCAATTACTTTAACGTTTTAATCCCGATATTGGCAATGTTGCAATTTACGAAAGGAGGCCCGATTATTGCGGTTCAAGTTGAAAATGAATATGGGAGTACTTCCGAACCGGGGAGATTCGTTCCAGATAAGATTTATTTGGAACAATTAAGACGGTTGTTGATTCGAAATGGGATAGAGGAGTTATTATTTACTTCGGATTCGCCAACGGCTCATGGAGATGAAGGTACTTTACCGGGAGTTTTATTTCAAACGGCGAATTTCGCTTCAAACCCAGAAAAAGAATTCGAAGCACTTTTAAAACTTCAAGGTAAAAATCATTTTTAATTCAAACCTTATTATATTCTATTTTTTTAATTCGGAGGAGTAAAATGAAAAGTCAGGTTTTTTTAAATAAAAAATACATCATGAAAGAACACCATGAAGTTGTCAATTTGTTCATTATATGATAACTAACTTCAGGTTACAACCTCAATTTTGACATATTTGTAATCTTCATTAAAAATCCTTTAAAATGAGCCCAAACATGATACGTTTAATTTCAATATTACTCGAGATATAAGCAACTTCCGGTTTGAAATGTCAATGTTATTTTGATATATTCTTAATTTTTATAAAATGTCTTAAAATTTGCCACAAAAACAAAAATATAATTAGAATTAATTATATGATTAAAGAGGATTTATATTCTTTGATGATTATTAAATTTTATAATCATCAAAAAATATAATGAAAATAAACTGAAACAGGGTTTCCAGATCACACACATAGATGTCATGACTCATGACACAAGTCATGTCATAAAAAATCGTGAGATGTTGAAATTTGTTTAAAAATCACTCGATTTTAATAATATGTTACATACAGGCTTAAGATTCAAGTAAAATAGTTTAGACAACTTTTGGATATAAAAGTGATATAATTAAAAGGAAATAATTTTGGCTCGAAAGTAAAACGGGAAATATAAAACTACAAACCAAAACATTACGCCAAATTTCCTTTCTTCTTTTCTCGTGGTACTCTGAAGAGTCGGAAGTCCTTCTTACTGCCATTTTTGCAACTCCAAAGTCAACAAGACGGCAATATTTTTGTAAATAAGTGGTGAGATGCAGTGACAAGCTACCAAACCGCCATTTTGGCTTAAAAACAGGCTTCATGAACCGCGGTACTTTGTAAGTAATATCTTAGCGCCATCTAGCGGCGAATAGACGTAACTAATAGAGAAATTTACAGTAACCTAGAATTCGAGTTGAAAATGATTTTACTTTGATTTTATTAACACTAATTATTATATTATTTTTGTAATAAAATCGTGAGATGTACGTGTCAAATCGTGATATTAAAGGTAATATCATGAGATCTCATGATAAATCGTGAGACCTGGCAACCTTGACAGAAATTAAGGTTGGTATTAATATTTAACAATTAAATTGTTATTTTCATTGTTGCTAACTTCGAGTTTAATGTTTTTTATTCTAATTTTTTTATTTTTTGAGATAGATGCATCATGTTTGGACACAATTTAAAGTTCTTTTAAATAAAAAATACGTCATGAAGTTGTCCATTTATTTATCATGTGATAACTAAACTTCAGGTGTAAAATGTCAACCTCAATTTTGACATACATATTTGGAATATTCATTAAAAATCCTTTAAAGTGAGTAAAAACACGACATATTTATCTCCAATATTAATGAAGTTATGGTCAATTTTCGGTTAGAAATGTCAACCTCAATTTTGATATATTTGTAATCGTGAAAAATCCTTTGAAATGAGCCCAAACATGATAGGTTTAATTCCAATATTACTCAAAATATGAGCAACTTTTGGTTAGAAATGTCAATGTCTAACGATGTGCTTTAGAAGTGTTAAGAACAAAGTTCAAAACATATTTTCGACCACACCGCAATTTACACAAAATCGAAATAAAAATTGTGTTATTTAAAAATTTCTGCTAAATGGGTTGCCTATATAATGTTTTTATTTATTAAATTTATTTATTAATCAATTAATTAATTACCAGGACGAGTTTACCGATGTGTTAAGAACAAAATTCAAAACATACTTTCGACCACACCGCAATTTACACAAAATCGAAATAAAAATGGTGTTATTTAAAAATTTCTGCTAACTGGGTTGCAGGTTTAATTCCAATATTACTCAAAATATGAGCAACTTCCGGTTAGAAATGTCAATGTCATTTTGATATACTCTTAATTTTTATAAAATGTCTTAAAATTTGTGACAAAAACAAAAATATAATAAAAAAGAACAGAAATTAAGGTTGGTATTAATATTTAAAAATTAAATTGCTATTTTCATTGTTGCTAACTTCGGGTTCAATGTTTTTTATTCTAACTTTTTTGTATTTTTAGATAAATGCATCATGTTTGGACACATTTTAAAGTTTTCTTAATAAAAAATACATCATGAAAGAACACCATGAAGTTGTCCGGTTGTTTATTATATGATAACCACGAAGTAGTATAAGGTGATAAAACGAGCGTACAAAAGTGGTGGGGAATTTGCTCAAAAATAAGGCGAACTTAATTCAGAGATACCTTGTGGCTCTGACGATAGCGCCCCTTGTGTTAAAACTGCAAACTAAAATTAAATATACTTTTTAAGTTATAGTTGACAGATTTTTAGTTTTGACAGATCAGCTGATTTTAGCTGGACCAATTCTATATTATAGGAGGAATAAAAATTATAATAATATTGATTAATATTATTGTAATTAATTATTATCTAATATTGAGTTGTAAAAATGATGTGTAACAATGATTAATGTAATGGACCGCAAAAAAAAAATAACCAACCTAACCTAAACAGATTAATTTTTGTTAGTTTACAGTTTTACCACCGGGGCGCTGTCGTCAGAGCGACAAGGTAAAACTGTGAATTAAATTCGCCCTATTCTGGAACACAGTCGCCTATTGCCGTTTTATCTTCGTGATGATAACTAACTTCAGGTTACAACTTCAATTTTGACATATTTGTAATCTTCATTAAAAATCCTTTAAAGTGAGTACAAACAACATCAATTAAACATCAATTTTTAATTTAGCTCTTTTAAAAGTGAGGTTAAGTCGTTTATTTCTATATTTTTGATTTGACGTTTAAACGTCATTTTTTATTTTGGCTCTTTTAAAAGTGAGGTTAAGTTTGTGTCGATTTAATTTGACAATTAAACGTCAATTTTTAAGGTTAATCGGTGAATTTCAATAAAAAGTATTTAAAATGAAAGTGAATAAGGATTGCGGAAAGATGAATCAGGTTGTTTTATATCAATAACTTTTCTATTATTGTTATTTTTTTAAATGAAGAAATTTGAAGACATATTTATCTTCAATATTAATGAAGTTATGGTCAATTTCCGGTTAGAAATGTCAACCTCAATTTTGACATATATGTAATCGTGAAAAATCCTTTAAAATGAGCCCAAACATTCCAATATTACTCAAAATATGAACAACTTCCGGTTTGAAATGTCAATGTCATTTTGATATATTCTTAATTTTTATAAAATGTATTAAAATTTGTCACAAAAACAAAAATATAATAAAAAAAAAACTGAAATTAAGGTTGGTATTAATATTTAAAAATTAAATTGCTATTTTCATTGTTGCTAACTTCGGGTTTAATGTTTTTTATTCTAACTTTTTTGTTTTTTGAGATAAGTGCGTCATGTTTGGACTCATTTTAAAGGTTATTTTATGAAGATTACGAATATAATAATAAAATTAAAGTTGACATTAACACCTGAAAGTTTTCTTCTTAGCCGTCCGTCGAAACTCTTTCAAAAAACATCAAATTCGAATTTTCCTAGTGTAATTTTTGGTTAAAACTAAGCAATAACCTGTCTTTTTGGCGCTGCAATTTGAAAACACCCCTCCGAATTAAAAAATAGAGTACAATTATTAAATAAAATCAATTTTAGGTGAAAAACCATTAATGGCCACCGAGTTTTGGACCGGTTGGTTCGATCATTGGGGTGAATTACATCACATTCGAGACAACGAAGATTTCTACAACATATTAGAAAGGATTTTAAAGTACCCCGCTTCCGTAAACATGTACATGTTCGTTGGTGGAACAAGTTTCGGGTTTATGAACGGGGCAAATATCGCCGATTCAAGCGTAGATAATGAGGGTTATCAACCGGATACGACTAGTTATGATTACGACGCCCCCATAAGCGAATCTGGAGATTACACAATGAAATATGTTATGGTTAAAGAGTTATTAACAAAATATAACAAAATTAAAACAAGAACGCCGATCGTTCCCGCAATTACAATTAAATTTGCGTACAAAAATGTATTTATCGATAAACAATTAACGTTCAACGAAATTTTGGAGCAAGCTCCAATAAAAATAAACAGCCCAAAATTAATGCCGATGGAGTTATTACCTCAAATTAATAATAATTCGGGGCAAAGCTACGGATACATAGTTTACAGAAAAGAAAACTTAGACATCTCAAGCAACACAACTTTAATCATTAAAGGAAGAGTTTGCGATACAGTTATGGTGTTAATAAACGGATTTTTAGTATCAAAACCTTTAACTTTAGTAAGCGATTTAAATTCGTTCGGATTTTGGCGATGGAAAGACTCTAGATTACACCTCGGAATGCAACCGTTTAAATCGGCAACTTTAGATTTAATCGTTGAAAATTGGGGTAGAAACAACTTCGGAAGTTTAGACCAATTCATTCAATATAAAGGTTTATGGCAAGGTGGCGTATTTTTAGATGACACTGAATTAAACGATTTCAAAATTATCCCATTGGATTTTAAAAAAACATTTTTTTCGAAATTGAATTATTTTCACCCGCCTATTAACCCCTGGTTACCAGCCCCATCGATTTATAAGGCCACTTTAAAGGTTCAAACGCGGTACGATACGTTTTTGGATATGTCTTCGTGGACTAAGGGATTCGTTGTTGTAAATAATTTCATTTTGGGACGATACTCTTCGATCGGACCGCAACAAACCCTGTTTTTACCCGCCCCTTTACTAAAAGAAGGGAAAAACACCATCATGGTTTTCGAACAGTTCTTTCCGGCGGACCGATTAAAATTTAGAACAACACCGTTTTATAAAACGCAAAATGCCGAAATTGGAATGGTTTCAATTATTATGTCATAATCAAATATTTTGGTAAACATCTGTACTTAGAATAAGATTTTTTATATATATTTTTTTGTGTGTTTAGTGGAATTGTGTAAAAATTCTATTTTTTAAGAATTAATTAATAAAAGAAATTAAAATTTTTAAAAAGAATGCAAGTAATTTAAATGTCATTTGGAATTAAACGTCAAATTATTAAAATCTATTGGTGATAATAGATGGCAGCAGGTATATAATACGTTACGTAGATTTGGTTGCCTATCTCTCAAAACATGTTCTTTATTTTATCTTTTTTATTATTATTATCTTATTAATAGTGGTAATAAATAAACGATGACATTTTACGACGTTGTTTTCACCAATAATTAACAAATTAAAGAATTTGTGAAAAAAGAAATCTACACAATAATAACATTATAAAATTATAATTACTTATTAGTCAAGGAATTTTTTATCATACAATTAAATCTTATTGTTAGATCGGAATAAATTTAAAAAAAAAACTCCACAAGGTAATACTAAGTGATATGTGATTCCGTCTTCTGGCAAGATTAATCTCATTAGTTTTGCTTTGTTGAACAACACCTACTCCTTATTATTTTACAATAAAGTAAACGTAAAAGGATCCAGACGACTTTTAAGGCCATCTAAACTTATTATTATTCATTAATGACGCAATATGTATAATAAATCTTAAAAGTTGTCTTAAAAAAAAATGAGTGCAGAAATTTGTAATAAATAATAGAAAGTTGATTGATCATTTAGCATTAACTACTACACAAAACTAAATAAACGAATTAATAACGTTTCAAAATTAAAAGAATTGTATCTTTACTCATATAGGAAGTTACATCTAAGAAAATATTTCGATAAATCATATCCTTAGAAAAACAAGTCTTATTTTTTTAAAAACTCCGCTTCCGATACGATTCAAACTACTTTCTCTACGTGAATCGAAATCATTTAAACCTCTCTTAACAGATATCAACGTTAACGAACAAACCTTGTTTCGTAATCGTTAAAGCACACGCCTATCTACTTATACGTAACAAACATTTTTTTTGGTAGTCGAACTAACTTGTTTCGATCATTAACTGAGTCGCAATTGTGGAAATAAATCTAAAAAGCGAACGTCACCAAAATACTTTCACTGTGTTTGTGCATTCAGATTTGTTTGTGCATTCTTATTAATTAAAAAAACATGAGTTTTTAATAAATTTACATTTTATATTGCTTTAATATGTAAATTTATCGACTTTTAAACTATAAATTTGTAAAAAATAAAATCCCCTTCATTTGAATTCGGTTTAAAGATGGGTTTTAACCGTGTAAATATTAATATATACAATAAAATTCCTTTAACTCGAATGGCTAAAAGAGTAAAAGAAAACATTTAGGTAGAGAAAAATTCGTTGAATTTCACTTATATTTAACCTTGTAAACTTTTTGGTAACTCGTTCTGGTTCGAATCTTTACCTGAATGAAGATTAATGTTTCCTTATTATCTTAAAAATATCATTTAACAAGTTTTTCTTCTAAAAAATAAATTTAATCCTGAACAATTTTAAAGTGACAGGTAAAAGTTAGGTTATGTTTTCGTTTCTTCTTCAATTTCGGGGAAAGATCACTTCTTAGAGTCCATAATCATTGTAAATAACTAGTTTGGAAGATCAAAAACGTGTTTTGATGAGAATTTTGGTTCAATTAAACTTATTTTTTTGCAAAATTTAATAATTTTAGCAAGAAATGTAATTGTGGGGTTTAAATGTCAAAACTGACTTAATATCGGTGGTTGTCGCTAGATGGGGTGAGCAAATATTTAGAAGAGAAGCAATTTTTTAAGATAAAAAAATATTAATTATAAAAGTTTGAAATCTTTACCTGAATGAAGATTCATTTTTCCTTATTGTCTTAAAAAAATCGTTTATTAATGAGTTTTTTTTCTCCAAAGCAATTAAATCCTCGAAAATTTTAAAATGACAGATAAAAGTTGGGTTATGTTTTCGTTTCTTCTTCAATTTCGAGGAAAGATCACTTCTTAGAGTCCAAAATCACTGTAGATAACTAGTTTAGATATTCAAAAACATATTTTGATCGGGATTTTGGCTTAATTAATCTTATTTTTTTGCAAAATTTAATAATTTTAGCAAGAAATGTAATCGTAGGGTTTAAATGTCAAAACTGACTTAATATGGATGATTGCCGCTAGATGGGGTGAACAACTATTTAGAAAAGATGGAATTTTTAAGATAAAAAAATAATAATCATAACAATTTGAAATCTTTACCTGAATGAAGATTAATTTTTCCCTATTACCAAAGCTATTACCTTAAAAAATCATTTATTAATAAGTTATTTTCTAAAATATAAATTAAATCCTCAAAAATTTTAAAGTGAGTTTATGTATTCCTTTTTTTTCAATTTCGGGAAAAATCACTATAAATGATTAGTTTGAGAGTCCATAAACGTATTCTGATGTGGGTTTTGGCTCAATTACACTTATTTTTTCGCAAAATTTAATAATGATAGCAAAAAATGTAATCGTAAGGTTTAAATGTCAAAACTGACTTAATATGTTGCCGCTAGATGGGGTGAAATTGTCGTTTAATTTTTGATTGAACTAGAACTAGATAACTACTTTCAGATATTTATTAAGATTAATTTAAATTGAGTATATTCATGCTATTTATTCTTCCAGATAATTATTTTTGAGGTTTAAACTTTTTCAAATAGAGTACTACAATAAATGAAACAAACGTATACGGATAATGCGTATGTGCGACAAGGACAGACAACATTCAACCCTAAACTTCAAATTTTGTTTACATCATACATTTTTCTAACCTCTAATTCCCGTTCTGTCAGTGTTAAGTGTTCTCAGCAGGCTTGTGACACGAGATAGGAATAAATTTATCTAAGTATGTAGTTCCATGTCACATCGCTGGATGGCGCTACCGTCGGCGTTCGGCAATGTTCGGCATTGTTCGCCCTTCCCGAGGTTTAATAATTGAAATTTTAATCACTTATTTTATAAATTGCTATAATATGTTGCCTAAGTAATGTATATATGAGAAAAAAATTATATATGTAATTATCCTGTATTTGTATGACTTTTTGAGAATAAATATCAAGAAAAAGAAATCGTAGAATCGTCATGGCGGTATTAGTGACTAATAATTAGTCATAGTTCTTGCTTGACGCGTTCGCTTCACTTCGTTTTAGCTCAAGTGAAACTACGTTTGTATATCTCGTTATTGTGTTTTATAATAGTGATACTTAATCTGTGAATAATTATGCCTGCAATCGCAGTAAGTATAAGATTATCCTAGCAAATATATAATTATAATCCCGTCACAAGGTCATAATATAATAAAAATTAACTTAGAAAGATTAGTGGATATTTAATTTATGTGATTTTAGCGATTATGATTTATTGATTTATTATTGATTTATGTGATTATGCTTTTAGCTAATTCGAGTAATTAATTCTTATATAAATAAAATATTTTGAACTGGTTAGGCCACTTCATTTACTCCAGAGAATATAGGGTTACAATAAATATTATTTGATTGTAAATAAATGAAAAGTTAAAATCTTATTAATTTTTTTATTAGCAAATAACTATTAAATAAATAATTATGTCCCCGATAAATTGATAAAATTCTTAAACTTGTAATTTATAAATCATGACCAGAATCATACAATTCAACCAGATTCAACATAAGTAATTAATAATAACTTTTTTTATGTTGTTATCCTCACATAGTAATAATTATATTTAAATAAGTAAAGTAAATTAAATAACTAAAAAAATCTTGATGTTAAGTTCTTAACAAGTTCTAAAAGTATTATTTAATGCTTATTATTTTAGAAATTTATATTTTAAATGTCTAATAAATCCTAATCTACAGAGTTGTGTGGACAAACAGTGTCCGACAAATTCATTGCCGCCCAGAGACCGACAACTCTTCTGCTTTCCAAGATCTGAAGATCTGCGGCGGCAATGGTTGGAAAGAATGAGCAGGCCAGATCTCATGGAGTTGTCACATGCTCAATTACATGGGAGAAGGCTGCGAGTTTGTGAGCGCCATTTCAACGGCAATCAGTTTCAGACGTCAGACCGGAAGAAGTTAACTGCACACCAAATCCCTCGACGTGCAAATTTAGAAGACAATCCCGATTCTCCTGCCAATACTCCATCCGGTACATCCATTCCCTGCATGTCTTCTAAATTTGAGACTCCTAAGTCGAGGAGGTGCAAAGGTAAATATTTAATTAAGTACAACATAGTAATTAAATACAATTTCGTATTAATGTCATTTTCAGGTCGAACATCACAAGTTACTCCGAAGGAGCGGAAGCTGTTGGCCAGGTTAAAGAAGGCTGAAACTATTTTGCGTTATCGGAAGAAGCGTATCCAGTACTTGTCTCAATCCCAAAAACTTTATCCAAATCCCTTTTCCCCATCTAGCTTAACCAATATCCAACAAATACATACCCTACCTAAACCTCTCCGTGTTTTTATTCTTTCCCTCCTTCGAAATTTCCATGTATCCAAAAAAAACCGCCGTTACACCTTAGAAGAGAAAGCCCTATTCCTCTCCATTTTCAAACACGGTCCCCGCTCCTACCGATACCTGCAAAAGATCCTTTCCCTACCGTCTACAAGAACATTAAGACGATCCCTTGCAACTTTCCAACTAACCAGCGGAATCAACCTAAATNCCACCGGCTGGTTCTCAGCTTTTTCTTGTTATTTATCGTTTTTGCGTGGTTTAAACATGGATATATCGGTAATTTTTGATGCTGCATTCTTGATAAACACCTATTTCAATAAAGAGTTGCTTTTAATTATGTTGTGTTGTTGTTTTCAGCAAATTCAAGGAGTTAGAAAAGGGACTAAAGGAAAACGAGAGATCCTCAGCAATAGAGACATCAACCCTAGTAGACCTAGTTGTGAATTATTCAAAATCAAAAATAGAAAAACTGATGCAGTTACTTGAAAAGATAACGAGAAAGTGTGGAAAAAACTGTGTGCCACGAATTTGACTAATCAATCTGTCAAACCCTAAAATGAAGTAAGTACATTTATAATATAATTAAATATTATATAGTCAGTACCATTAATAGTCAGATTAATTTTACCAATAGGTGAAAATAACTCTATTTTTTAATTTGGAGGAGTAAAATGAAAAGTCACGTTTACACAGTGTAATTTTTCAAAGCTATTTTTTGGCGGGAGTTTTAAAACTAGAAAGGATTTTAAGTAAATTGTAGTTACGAATTTAATTACTTATTTGTTTAAACATAATAAAAAATATATGTCAAACAATATCAATAAAACGGATTAATACAGGGAAGGCAGTGTCCGTTATAGCTCAATAAAAATATACATTAATCTAACACTAGACTTAGTACTAGGATCATTCGGGTTTAGCCGTCTTGAGAGACATGTGATTTTTCCCGAAATTAAAGAAGAAACGAAAACATAACCTAACTTTTATCCTGTCACTAAAATTTTTGACAATTTAATTTATTTTTTACAAAAAAACTTATTAATAAATAATTTTTTAAGGTAATAAGGAAAAATTAATCTTCATTCAGGTAAAGATTTCAAACTTTTATGATTATTATTTTTTTATTTTAAAAATTTCTTTTTTTCTAAATAGTTGCTCACCCCATCTAGCGACAACCATCCAGTTTAAGTCAATTTTGACATTTAAGCCCTACGATTACATTTCTTACTAAAATCATTAAATTTTGCGAAAAAATAAGATAAATTAGCCAAAATACATTTTTGGACTCCAAAACTATTTATTTACAGTGATTATGGACTCTAAAAAGTGATCTTTCCCCGAAATTGAAGCAGAAACAAAAACATAACCTAACTATTATCTGTCACTTTAAAATTTTTGAGGATTTAATTTATTTTTTAGAAGAAAAATCTTCATTCAGGTAAAGATTTCAAGCTTTCTTCGTTTTTAAGCCGTCTTAAGAGACGCACGGCTAAACCCGAAACTTTCTAGTTCTACGTCTAGTGTTATAATAAATATTAAAAAATAGAGTATAATTGAAGATGAATATACCGGGCCTTACAAAATAATTCTAGATATAGAATGTGTAAAGATTATGTAAAGGTTATTGATTAGATTAACTCAAACTTCATAATGAACCAAATCCATTTCTCATTCAATAACAAATTAACACAAAACCCTGATTTCTAAATAAAAGGTTAATGCCACGAAAACGATTATAGTAACTTTCTTATCTATTCACAAAATTAACATTTTGTCAAGCCTTTTACTGCTGTACGTTTTAATGTTACAACGTTTTAGTGGAGATTTACGTAAGTTGGTCGTTAATGGAAATTCCGTTAGGAAACCGTTGGGACCAAAGTCATGTTTCGAATTTTCGCGGAAGACTAATAAAAAGGATACCCCAAAGCCCCATTTTTTTTAACGTTATGTCATCGCTAGTTTGCGTGTTTATTTTTTTTCCTACTCTCGATTACGACATTTTCACCACTTTCTAGGTAACACTAATTTGAAACAATTAAATCACAAAAATTATTAATAACGAAACGTTGTTGTTCGAATTGAACGTTTAAGAAAGTAAATCGAAGACACAAAAAGGAAAAAGAAATTTAGTTCTAGGTCAGATATAATTTTAAGGTAGAGGTTAACAAGGTTTTAAAAAAGAATCCTTGATAGTAATTTTCCACGTTCGAAAAAAGGTTGATAAATCGTTTTTTAAAATATTCCCCTTCGTATTAGCAAATATTTCGAAAGTATCCTTGATTTTCTTAATGCACCGCGATCGATCTAGTTTTATATTAGTGCGGCATTCCGGGTTTCATAATAAACGTTTTAACGATTCATACACCACACGTCACGCAGCTGCGAAATTACCACTCGAACAGTTTAATTTGCATCGATACGACAACGAACGACAAAAAAGAACCGTTCAAATTTCTGTAAATAACGCTTTGAACGCACTTTTTAAAGTCTTTCGGTCTTTTATAAAACCTTACAAGGACTTGATAACTGTTATTGTTAGTGGCAATCGAGAACGTGCCGCTAATTGAATTCAAAATCATTTCGTAGGTTTTCTTATTTCTCTAATTTTATTAATTAAAAGGGAATCATTTTTTGTTTTATTTTTATTATTTATAAATGTAGACGTTTTTTTGAGTACGGTTCTGTCCCTCCTAGATGCTTTAAAGCTTCAATCTTCCGACAGGTGAACGGATTGTTGTTTATCGTTATGTCACTGCCGTGAAAGTCTAGTTGGCAATGGCCTTCTGCTTCTAAATAAACTTCTTCTATTCCGTATCGCACGTAAATACAAGACTCCGTCTATTGTTATGTCTTCAATTGTAGAGTTAGAGATATGATTATTTAACTTAATATGTTTTTCATGATTGTAATTATAGTTTGGATCTTTATTTAGTATCCAAAGGTAAGTAGGAATTTCGTTAACACCTTTACCATGCTACGCCATGTATCTTAGCAAATTGGAACACTCAACTCTGAAGAAATACTGCATTTCCCAGAATTGTAGCTAATTATGTACGACTTGTTATATAAAATCGATGATTTTTCAAGAACATTCATTCTGTTCGGTTTAAATAATCGCTTGATGCCAACCCAATGTATCAAGGTCATATCTCCAATAAATCCGGACAATTAACAATGTTTGGCTGAATTAAGTCGAAATTGCTTGCGGCCGAGGCGCAACATCGATACCATATCGATACAAAATAGTTTTCGAGAATGTCTGATTTAATTAAGCCGAGGTTGCTCCACGCCCGAGGGGCTACATCGATATAAAACAGTTTTCAAGAATGTATGGCTTAATTAAGCGGAGGTATGTAGCTTTGTGACCGAAGTGTAACATTAATACCATATCGATACAAAATAATTTTCAAGAATGTGTGATTTAATTAAGCCGAGGTTGCTCCGCGACCGAGGCGCTACATCGATATAAAACAGTTTTCAAGATTGCATGGCTTTATTAAGCAGAGGTAGTTTTGCGTAATATTGATTACCTCGATACAAAATAGTTTTCAAGAATGTGTGATTTAATTAAGCCGAGGTTGCTCCACGCCCGAGGCGCTACATCGATATAAAACAGTTTTCAAGAATGTTTGGCTTAATTAAGCGGAGGTAGCTTTGTGACCGAAGTGTAACATCGATACAAAATAATTTTCAAGAATGTGCGACTTAATTAAGCCGAGGTTGCTCCGAGGCGCTACATTGATATAAGACAGTTTTCAAGATTACATGGCTTAATTAAGCAGAGGTAGTTTTGCGTTGACATTGATTATCTCCATACAAAATAGTTTACAAGAATGTGTGATTTAACTGCTGTACACATGGTTCATTTTCCAAGACATCAAATAAACAATATCATCTAATATCGCCGAGGTCGCTTGCGGGCGAGGCGCTAGAACCAATAGTATATCCATCGTTCCCCTCTCCCCGCTCTCCTAAGATCTGCCCTCGGTCCAACTCCTCCTCCCACAACTCACTGCACCCATTCAACATATGTTCCAACGTTTCCCATTCCTCCCTGCATAGCCTACACCACCTCTCCTCATCGGCCATCCAGTATCTGTTCGCTCTCTCCTCGTTTCCACAACGGAACCTAGCCACCAACTTCTTCAATTCCTCATCTCCTTCCAATAACAAGTATCTAGGCAGCCCCTCCGTCATTATGTCCCTGTACCTTTCGTTATACCTCCCCTCTTTTATTTGTGTCCTTCTTTCCTGTCTCTGCATATCTCGGTCCCTATCTCTCAACTCCCTCCACATCTCCCTACCCACCCTTCGTCTACTATTTATCTCAGTTACCGAGTAGCCCGCTCGTCTATAATAGTTGTCTCTGTCTCCTTTCCCATATTTGATCTTTCCCTCCAACACTCCCCCAAGATCCCGCAGTTTGGCCTCCCTTCTATTCTTTCTTCATATTTCACTGCTCTCCTGCCCCCCTCCACTCTGACTTTATCCACCTTTACCTCTTCCCTCACTATATATCCCGGTGTTTCTCTCGCCACCCCAAGCACCCATCTCCAGTATCTAGCTTGCACGTCCTCCAGCATTGCCTGCTCTCTCCATCCCCATACCTCTGCTCCATACATCATCACACTGCTAACCAGACCTTCAAACATAATCTTCCTCGCTGCCACATTCCTTCCAAAGACTCTCTTCCCCCAACCCCATACTTGTCCCATCACCTTATTCGCCTTTTTTGCCATTGCTATCACATGCGACCCCTCCCTGTTGTCCTCCCTGAACACATACCCCAAGTAAGTATACTCCCTAACCTCCTCGATCTCTTTTCCCTCCCATCTCCAGTTTTCTGTTCTTTTTCTCCCCCCCTTACAAAACTTCATCATCCTTGTGTTCCCCACATTCACTTCCAGCCCCTTCCCCCTAAAATATCTTTCCAATGTCTTTATCATATCTTTCATCTCCGCCACTTCTCTCGCCATGACCACGATGTCATCCGCGTATGCTAACATATGCACCTTTCTACCTCCCACCACCAACCCTCCCATTTGCCCCTTCCTCAATCTATCCTCCAGGTCCGCCGTATACAGTGCAAACAGACTTGGGCTCAGCGGACATCCCTGCCTCTGTCCCTTCGTCGTCCAAAACACGTCGCTCAGCTTATCGCCATAGTCTCCATGTATATTTCCTTCACTCTCGCAATTAGGTGTTCCGTGATCCCCCTCCTCCCCATCTCCTCCCACAACTTTCCCCTATCCACCTTATCAAAAGCCGCCTTCAAATCTATAAACTGGGCGTACAATTTCCCTCCCTTCTTATACAGCTCTCTATCTGCCAGATGCTTTAACACGTACACGTTGTCGATTGCTCCCCTTCCCTTCCGAAAGCCTGCCTGCCCATCCGGCAAAATTCCCCTCTCCTCCTCCAGTCTTCCCAGCAGTATCTTCGTGTATACCTTGTATGCCCAGTCTAGTAGGTTAATTCCTCTGTAGCTTTCTACCCTTCCCTTATTACCCTTTTTATATACTGGGCAAATTACCCCCACTTTCCATCCCTCCGGAATCCCCCCCCTCTCCATACGCTATTCATCCCCTCCAACAACTTCACTCTCACCACCCTTGATGCTTCCAACCATACCTCGTTCTGGATGCCATCTTCCCCTGGCGCCTTTCCCTTCTTCAATCCCCTAAGCACTGCTTCGATCTCCTCTTCTGCTATCTCGACACAACTATTGCCGAGGTCGCTTGCGGGCGAGGCAGAATGAGGATAAACGATTTCTCATTTAACTGCTATACAGGGTGGGTCAAATTGGACACTTTAAAAGGGAAACTCTTCTTTCTATAAGAAATAGAGGAAAAATGATATCAGTGTCTGAGGCTCGATTTTTATAAGAAACTTAATGGCGAAAACCGCATATCGATATCTCTTATGGTTTCAGAGATACAGGGTGTTTTTTAAAAAAGTTCATTTTCGAAAAGTCGTCATAACTTTTTTCTTATCTATATTTCTTATTTCTTTATATAGGTCAGATAAAGGCGTGACGTACTGTCTGAGACGAACCATCTGTTCCGATTGGACGGAACCCTCCTCTCCCCGCATAGCTTATTTCTGTTCCTCTTTAATTTGTAATTCCATTAAATCGCTCTTAAAAAATTAAGGAACCTTAATTTTGAAAAACTAATGACGGAATTCGACGACCGACATTATTTGAGATATTTTGGTAAAAACCACGTCAAAATCCGCCAGGTCGTTTTCGAAATAACCGCAACCTACTAAACCGCGATTTTCCGCGAAACTATATGGAATATCGAAAAAATAAAATATGCCCTATATTAAGAAGACATCGGTTTATCACCAGTTCAAATTTGCAATTTTTCGTCAAATAGTTTTCGAGAAATCGGGTACTTTTTTCATTTAACTCGCGATAAAAAGAAAACCGAAAATTTTCAAATTAACATGTTTGTTACGTAGAAATGTTCAGTGATTACAACGTCGCGCCTTTATCTTACCTACATAAAGAAATAAGGCGCGACGTCCTGTCTGGGACACACCATCTGTTCCGATTAGACAAAACCACGTCACCCCGCAGAGCTTATTTCTGTTTCTCTTTAATCTGTAATTCCATAAAATCGCTCTTAAAAAATTAGGGAGCTCTAATTTTGAAAAACTGGTAACGGAATCCGACCAACGACATTATTTGACATATTTTGGTCAAATCCTCGAGGAAATCCACCCAGCCGTTTTACTAAACCGCGATTTTCCGCGAAACTGTATGAAATATCGAAAAAATAAAATATGCCACTCATTAAGAACACATCAGGCTACCACGTGTTCAAAATTCAAATTTTTTCGTACGATAATTTTCGAGAAAAAAAATCGCAAAGTTGCTGGTACTCTCAAAAATCGGGTACCTGATATGGTAGAGATATCGATCTCTAAAGTGAGGGGCCTTGACTTTTTGCACGGATAGTAGTGGGCTTTGACGACGTTTCGATAAAACAAATGCATTGTTTATGAGTATCTATCTGTCAAATTTTGATTCAAGTTGTAAGTGTTAGTACTTATCGTTAGAATATTACTTAGTTGTCATCAACTTTCAAAATAATGTCATATAAAAATTATGAAAAATGGGACATGATATGACATGAATGGACATGAATGGGAGACTGCAGGAAATTTATATCATGAACGATATCCAGAGAGGCGGCAACTTTTTAATGATATTTTTAGAAGATTATGATATAATCTACAAACTAGCGGCCAATTCGAAAAGAAAAGATCAAAAACTTATATACCGAATGAAGACGGGGAATTAGAAGAAATAGTAGATTTAGAGGCAATAGAAAATAATCCACAGATATCAACAATTGAGTGTTCACAATTCATATTTAAGCCGGGTTTAAGCCACATTTATTACCTCAGACCAGGAGATCTTGAATTCGCGGCGCATGAATTTTTGCCAATGGTTCTTGGAAAAATGTGCCAAAAAAAAAAACACCGTGTATCTCTGAAACCGTAAGAGATATCGATATGCGGCTTTCGCCATTAAGTTTCTTATAAGAATCGAGCCTCAGACACTGATATCATTTTTCCTGTATCTCTTATAGAAATAGGAGTTTCCATTCAGGATAATTAATTTCTCCTTCAACAGTTGTGCGCTTGGTTTACTTTTCATGATATCAAATGAACGATATCATCTAATAACGCCGAGGTATTACAACAAAACCATATCGATGAGAAACCTGAATTTGCAATGACGCTTAAGTAAATCAAGCCAAGGTCGTTTGTGGCCGAGGCGATAGAACCAATAGGTTATAGCAGCTTTTTGTTGTATGCTTTATGCACTAAACATATTTGCCTAAGTACCTCATCCATTTTTCGGCAAATGTTATCATTACTAACTACAACTTTGACATGAAAACTTGGTCTATATCTTATTTGTTACTTTTTAATGTTGGTACTGAGCTATCATCGTAGCAATTAATTTCAGATGTCATGTGCCTTTATATAAATAATTTTACTCCTCTTTTCTTGCTGGTCACCACAGGTCGTGTTACTTTATGCGTTAATAGTAAACATTGAGAAATTCTCTGTATTTACATAAACACCCTGTATATATAAAAAATTATGTAATAAATGCTTATTAAAATCCTCTCACAATACATTCTTTTTTGGTAACTCGATATATTACATAATTGGGGACACTTCGTTATGGTTGAAGATGAATGATCTTTTGAGTTTTTTTTTTATAGAAAGGTAGTGATGAGTTTCTAAATCTGTTCCAAATAAATTTTCGTGTGATATAATGCACGTGAGAACATTTTTATTTCGTACTTAACGTACTGTTAACGCCTAGACTTTTCTTTTTTTGATTTTTAATCAATCTTAAAGGTTAATTGATTCAAACGAGTTCATTTTTATTTTGGGGGAGTTCAAAAAATTGTGGAAAATCAGGTTTTACTGCAATGCGAGAATACATTTTATTTCCATTACTTATTTCTTATGTGTAAACAGCTTGGATTGCGACATAATTAATTATAAAATCATTTAAAATTGTATAAATACTTAAAAAAACACACATCTCGCGAATAGAAATATTAAGAAGCGTTGAAATATTATTCAGGTGCAGTGTCATTTAATCGCAAAGCTTATGTTGAAATAACTTTGGTAATTGAGCTATTAAGAAATACACGAGAAACAAAAATTCCTTAAGATTTCTTAACTGAAAAATTAATGAAGCTGATTTTGATTTTCGAAATGGAATTAATTAAGAGATGAATGCATTAATAACGGGGTCAAATAAATTGGAGTAAAAAGGTTAAAATTATAATATTTCATTATTGCGTAAAAACTTAGTTTCATTTTTTTTTAATTTCAAAAAAATCGTTCTCCCATCAAGCGTGAAAGCCACAAATCTTAAACAAATTCAGATTCGTTTTGTGACCTTTTAATAAATATGTTTAGGAAGTCGTTAAGATATCATTTTTTGACTTTCTTTTAAAATTGATTAAATTTCTTTTTTTTTTTTCTTCAAATTAGATTCTTTAAATATCTTCACGTGGTTGATTTAGTTGACTCAATTCGTAGTGTTGAGACATTTTTTTTTCTATTTTAACGCGGATAATTATCCTTGAAATTGTTTTAAACTTAGATTTAATTCTCCTCATTAAAGAAAATTAACTTATTGTTTCATTTTTTCAATTTCATCGTTACAATTTTAGATCATTACATAATGTTTTAATCTTTTACAGATCCATTTTAAGCGAAAACATTACCAACCTCACAATTTTTATATCCTTAAGTAAAAGGAGATCTAACAAGAAGCATAAATAAGCGATATGGTTCGCGTAAACTTTTTTCCGAGAAAAAATTTACCAATGAAAATCATTTAGTTTACGACTCGGTTTAATAATGCAATAAAAATAAGTTGATGAAGAAAAGATAGCGGCCGAGGCGCTATCTCGCCATCAAATTTAAGAAAAATCGGGATGATTTCAACGACATTTGACTTACTTAAGCCGAGATTGCTTGTGTCCGAGGCATTACAAGAAAACCATATCGATGAAAACATGATTATTTGTTAAAAACGTGTAAGTAAAATACATCGTCACTAGTTTTTAAGAATGTTTGAGTTGCTTAAACCGAGGTCGCTTGCGGCCGAGGCATTATATCAACCCGAATAATTCATATAAAATCCACTTCTTGGAATATGAGTACGAAAATTTCCCAAAGTGTTAATAAGAGTGTCCTCCTTCCAATGAACCAACACGTTTTGAAAAATAACTTTTAGTTTTTGAGAAAATAGTATTTGAAGTTTTGATAAAATTTTCGATGTTGCAATTTGCATCGATAAGCTTCAAAATTCGCTATAAAATTAATTTTTTGAAGGATCCGTGTGGAAATATCACCAATTATTAATTAAAGTATCCTCTTTTTAATGCAAAAACCCGTTTTGAAAAATCACTTTTAGTTCTTGAGAAATAAATTTTTGAAATGATCGACAATTTTTCGAATTTTGCAATTTTCGCCGATTAAGTTTTAAAAATTCGTATAAAATCCATTTTTTGGAATATGAGTATGAAAATTTCCCAAAGTGTTAATAAAAGTGTCTTCTTTCCAATGAACCAACCCGTTTTTAAAAATAACTTTTAGTTTTTGAGAAAATAATATTTGAAGATTTGATAAAATTTTCGATGTTGCAATTTGCATCGATAATCTTCAAATTTTGCCATAAAATTCATTTTTTGAAGGATCCTTGTGGAAATATCACCAATTATTAATTAAAGTATCCTCTTTTTAATGCAAAAAGCCGTTTTGAAAAATCACTTTTAGTTCTTGAGAAATAAATTTTTGAAATGATCGACAATTTTTTCGAATTTTGCAATTTTCGCCGATTAAGTTTTAAAAATTCGTATAAAATCCATTTCTTGGAATATGAGTATGAAAATTTCCCAAAGTGTTAATAAAAGTGTCCTCTTTCCAATGAACCAACCCGTTTTGAAAAATAACTTTTAGTTTTTGAGAAAACAATATTTGAAGTTTTGATAAAATTTTCGATGTTGCAATTTTCATCGATAATTTTCAAAATTCGCTATAAAATTAATTTTTTGAAGGATCCGTGTGGAAATATCACCAATTATTAATTAAAGTATCCTCTTTTTAATGCAAAAAGCCGTTTTGAAAAATCACTTTTAGTTCTTGAGAAATAAATTTTTGAAATCATCGACAATTTTTTCGAATTTTGCAATTTTCGCCGATTAAGTTTTAAAAATTCCTATAAAATCCACTTCCTGGAATATGAGTATGAAAATTTCCCAAAGTGTTAATGAAAGTGTCCTCTTTCTAATGAACCAACACGTTTTGAAAAATAACTTTTAATTTTTGAGAAAACAATATTTGAAGCTTTGATAAAATTTTCGATGTTGCAATTTTCATCGATAATCTTCAAAATTTGCTATAAAATTCATTTCTTGGAGGATCCTTGTGGAAATATCACCAACTATTAATTAAAGTATCCTCTTTTTAATGCAAAAACCCGTTTTGAAAAATCACTTTTAGTTCTTGAGAAATAAATTTTGAAATAATCGACAATTTTTTCGATTTTTGCAATTTTCGCCGATTAAGTTTTAAAAATTCGTATAAAATGCATTTCTTGGAATATGAGTATGAAAATTTTCCAAAATGTTAATAAAAGTGTCTTCTTTCCAATGAACCAACCCGTTTTGAACAATAGCTCTTAGTTTTTGAGAAAAAAATATTTGAAATTTTGATAAAATTTTCGATGTTGCAATTTTCATCGATAACTTTCAAAATTCGCTATAAAATTAATTTTTTGAAGGATCCGTGTGGAAATATCACCAATTATTAATTAAAGTATCCTCTTTTTAATGCAACAAACCGTTTGGAAAAATCATTTTTAGTTCCTGAGAAATAAATTTTGAAATAATCGACAATTTTTTCGAATTTTGCAATTTTCGCCGATTAAGTTTTAAAAATTCGTATAAAATGCATTTCTTGGAATATGAGTTTGAAAATTTCCCAAAGTGTTAATAAAAGTGTCTTCTTTCCAATGAACCAACCCGTTTTTAAAAATAGCTCTTAGTTTTTGAGAAAACGATATTTGAAATTTTGATAAAATTTTCGATGTTGCAATTTTCACCAATAATCTTCAAATTTTGCCATAAAATTCATTTTTTGAAGGATCCTTGTGGAAATATCACCAATTATTAATTAAAGTATCCTCTTTTTAATGCATTAAGCCGTTTTGAAAAATCATTTTTAGTTCTTGAGAAATAAATTTTGAAATAATCGACATTTTTTTGGAACTTTGCAATTTTCGCCGATTAAGTTTTAAAAATTCGTATAAAATCCATTTCTTGGAATATGAATATGAAAATTTCCCAAAGTGTTAATAAAAGTGTCCTCTTTCCAATGAACCAACCCGTTTTGAAAAATAGCTCTTAGTTTTTGAGAAAACAATATTTGAAGCTTTGATAAAATTTTCGATGTTGCAATTTTCATCGATAACTTTCAAAATTCGCTAAAAAATTAATTTTTTGAAGGACCCGTGTGGAAATATCACCAATTATTAATTAAAGTACTCTCTTTTTAATGCAAAAGCCCGTTTTGAAAAATCACTTTTAGTTCTTGAGAAATAAATTTTTGAAATAATCGACCATTTTTTCGAATTTTGCAATTTTCGCCGATTAAGTTTTAAAAATTCGCATAAAATGCATTTCTTGGAATATGAGTATGAGAATTTCCCAAAGTGTTAATAAAAGTGTTCTCTTTCCAATGAACCAACCCGTTTTGTAAAATAATTTTTAGTTTTTGAGAAAACAATATTTGAAGCTTTGATAAAATTTTCGATGTTGCAATTTTCATCGATAACATTCAAAATTCGCTATAAAATTAATTTCTTGAAGGATCTTGTGGAAATATCTAAGAATAGTTTTAAACTTAGATTTAGTTCTCCTCATTAAAATAAAAAATGAAGTTATTGTTTCAGTTTTTAAGATCATTACATAATGTTTTAATCTTTAAAGACCCATTTTGAGCGTAGATATTACCCAACTCACAATTTTTATATTCTCAAGTAAAAGGCATTCCTTCTGATCTAACAAGAAGCATAAATAAGCGTTATGGTTCGCGTGAACATTTTTGCCAAAAAAAAAGCGTTTATTTTATGACTCGCTTTAATAATGCAATAAAAAGATATAAAATTTGTTACTTTGTTGCTTTTATATCAGGAAATGTTTCTTGCAACATTTTGAAATAGGAATTTCAAATACTTACACTGAAAATCGATCAATTAAACTTAAACACTTTATTTATACCGAAGATAATTGCCATTTAACAATGAAACGCGCGATGATCAATGGATTTGCCACGGTTAGTTGAACATCATTTCATCTTTCTGCCAAGCAGATGAAAATAATTGAGTTAGCTCATTTTATGAATCGACTGAATAAACAAAGAGAGCAATTTTTATTTAATGAATATTTTGCTCAATTTAAAAAAGTAAAAACATGGTTTTATTAAAATTTTGACACAAAACGACCAATATAACTGACAATAACCAGTGTTGTGGTCGTACTTGGTTAAAATAATACTTTCTCTCGCTCCGCGAAATCTATAAGAGGGCGGTCAAATGTATATCAGGGATACAGTAGTGCTTGTGGTATTTGTTTACACAACAACGGCTTTGCAGGATACGTTCTTCATTTTTTGTGCTTTGTGTCTATAAATTTCGTTGGAAAGGTAAAAATAACCCAAAAAATTTAACACATTTATGATAAATCTTTAAATTGAAATCGAAATTGGGGAAAAAACCGTGACTAAAACAACCTACGCAATAACCTCCGCAAAAAGTGTCCTTGTTGCCAAAAAAGACTAAATTAACAATAAAAGAACCGGAATAACACTTTAACGCGAACTTAAATTTCTTTTTTAATTTATTTTTTTTTCTTAGTTAAGAAATAACAATGTTAACAGAATAATAGTATTTTTCACGCCATTATAAACAGAGAAGGTGTGTCTGAGTGCTCCTATTACAGATGTAAATTGCAAATTGAATCAGCAAAACGTATTAAATTGCTCAATTATTGCTTTAATGCAATAAATTATCCGTCAATAACTGCTACTTTCGATGAGTAATCGCCGGATTATCTCACATTATTTATTTAGTAATAGTCTAGAATTTACTTAGTAATAAGTACACAATTAAGATACAAAATACAAATAGAAGAAGAACTGTAGAAATAGAATCTTCACCTTGACTTCTAACTGAAACACTTTTTTTATGGATTAATTTAAACACGAAGGAATCCCGTACCGCATTTTTACCATTTAAAGAAACTCGTTTCATTTTGAAACCACAACAAACAACGATTGAAATCTTTATTTCTCTTTTTTTTGCATTGATCTTGAACTGAAAATTGATGCGTTAAAAACTATTTAATTACAATATGAATCACATTTAAATATTTTTAGTGTTAATAGATTTTTACAGATGGCGTTTGTGTATATATTTATTGTATATACTAAAACTAGAACTAAAAACATTCGGGTTTAGCCATCTTAAGAGACGTGCGCCTAAACTCAACTGTTTCTAGTTCTAGGTCTTGTGTTAGTTTTACTGATATTGCTAGTGTAAAACTAGAACTAACACTAGAATTCTGAGAACTAACCTAGAACTAGAATTCGTCTTGTGTTAGTTCTAGTGCAAAACTAATACTAACACTAGACCGAGAGCTAGAATCATTCGGGTTTAGCCGTCTTGAAAGACGTGCGGCTAACCCCAACGATTCTAGTTCTAGATCTTGTGTTCGTTCTAGTGATTCTGTTAGTGTAAAACTAGAACTAACACTAGACCTACAACTAGAATCATTCGGGTTTAGCCGCACGTCTCTCAAGACGGCTAAACCCAAATGATTCTAGTTTTAGGTCTTGTGTTAGTTCTAGTGCAAAATTAGAACTAACACTAGATCGAGAACTAGGAACATTCGGATTTAGCCGCACGTCTCTCAAGACGGCTAAACCCGAATGATCCTAGTTCTAGGTCTAGTGTTAGTTCTAGTGCAAAATTAGAACTAACACTAGACCGAGAACTAGGAACATTCGGATTTAGCCGCACGTCTCTCAAGACGGCTAAACCCGAATGATCCTAGTTCTAGGTCTAGTGTTAGTTTTAGTTCTAGTTTAATGACAATTATACAACAATCTTTAAATTTTGTGAAAAATAAGTTATTTAAATCACAATTCCCATAAAAATACGTTTTTGGGCTTCCAAACTATTTATTTATAGTGATTATGGACTCTAAGAAGTGATCTTTCCCCGAAATTGAAGAAAAAACGAAAACATAACCTAACTTTTATCTGTCACTTTCAAATTTTTGAGGATTTAATTTTTTTTTTAGAAAAAAACTTATTAATAAACGATTTTTTTAAGATAATAAGGAAACATGAATCTTTATTCAGGTAAAGATTTCAAACTTTTATAATTAATATTTTTTTATCTTAAAAAATTGCTTTTCTTCTAAATATTTGCTCACCCCATCTAGTGACAATCATCCATGTTAAGTCAGTTTTGACATTTAAACCCTACGGTTACATGTCTAGCTAAAATTATGAAATTTTGCGAAAAAATAAGTTTAATTGAGCCACAATCCCCATAAAAATACGTTTTTAGGCTCCCAAACTATTTATTTATAGTGATTATGGACTCTAAGAAGAGATTTTCCCAGAAATTGAAAAAGAAACGAAAACATAACCTAACTTTTATCTGTCACTTTAAAATTTTTGAGGATTTAATTTTTTTTTTTAGAAAAAAACTTATTAATAAACGATTTTTTTAAGATAATAAGGAAAAATGAATCTTCATTCAGGTAACGATTTCAAACTTTTATAATTAGCACTTTTTATCTTAAAAAATTGCTTTTCTTCTAAATATTTGCTCACCCCATCTAGTGACAATCATCCATGTTAAGTCAGTTTTGACATTTAAACCCTACGGTTACATTTCTAGCTAAAATTACTAAATTTTGTGAAAAAATAAGTGTAATTGAGCCACAATTCCCATCAAAATACGTTTTTGGGCTCCCAAACTATTTATTTATAGTGATTATGGACTCTAAGAAGTGATTTTCCCAGAAATTGAAGAAGAAACGAAAACATAACCTAACTTTTATCTGTCACTTTAAAATTTTTGAGGATTTAATTTATTTTTTAGAAAAAAACTTATTAATAAACGATTTTTTTAAGATAATAAGGAAAAATGAATCTTCATTCAGGTAAAGATTTCAAACTTTTATTATTAATATTTTTTATCTTAAAAAATTGCTTACCTTCTAAATGTTTGCTCACCCCATCTAGTGACAATCATCCATGTTAAGTCAGTTTTGACATTTAAACCCTACGATTGCATTTTAAGCTAAAATTACTAAATTTTGTGAAAAAATAAGTTTAATTGAGTCACAATCCCCATAAAAATACGTTTTTGGGCTCCCAAACTATTTATTTATAGTGATTATCGACTCTAAGAAGTGATTTTCCCAGGAATTGAAGAAGAAACGAAAACATAACCTAACTTTTATCTGTCACTTTAAAATTTTTGAGGATTTAATTTTTTTTTAGAAAAAAACTTATTAATAAACGATTTTTTAAGATAATAAGGAAAAATGAATCTTCATTCAGGTAAAGACTTCAAACTTTTATAATTAGCACTTTGTATCTTAAAAAATTGCTTTTCTTCTAAATATTTGCTCACACCATCTAGTGACAATCATCCATGTTAAGTCAGTTTTGACATTTAAACCCTACGATTGCATTTCTAGCTAAAATTACTAAATTTTGCGAAAAAATAAGTGTAATTGAGCCACAATTCCCATCAAAATACGTTTTTGGGCTCCCAAACTATTTATTTATAGTGATTATGAACTCTAAGAAGTGATTTTCCCAGAAATTGAAGAAGAAACGAAAACATAACCTAACTTTTATCTGTCACTTTAAAATTTTTGAGGATTTAATTTATTTTTTAGAAAAAAAACTTATTAGTAAACGATTTTTTTAAGATAATAAGGAAAAATGAATCTTCATTCAGGTAAAGATTTCAAACTTTTATAGATTTCATACTTTATGTTAGCTCTACTTTCAGTTGATATTTAGTGCTAAATTTATGTACAAATTATAGTGTTAGTGTTATTCTAATTTTAGCTCAATATAATGCCAGAAAAAACCCGCCCATATCTCATGGTTAAAGCTGTTTTGAAACCGATAAAATAAACTAATTAGAAGTGAAATTGCATCAAACGTTTAAACATAATTTATAGAGTATTTATTCTTCGTGAATGCGGTTAAAGTCGCGTACCACGTTCTCTCGTGTTTTCATTTTTTTATGCCCATTTGGAATCGTGATAGATTCAGGAATCTCGATCAATCTCGTACAACACACGTTTGTTACCTTTCAAAGACGTTCAATACTGTCGCTTGTAAATTAAAACAGGGCCGTATTAGAAAAACAATGAATGAAACTTGTTATAAATTATTTCTATATTAATGGGAAAGTGAAATTTCTAAAGGTAAAAAAAGGAGGCAACTTTCTTGTGGGAATTTGCACCTATGTAATCAATTCAATTTGAATATATGAGATCACGTTTTAGAAAATAACATCAAAGAGAAATAGCGAGGTTCAAGAGGTTAAGATAAAAAAAATATTAATATGTAGTTTGAATTAATCAAACAGGAAATGAAAAGAGGTTGAATGGTTCAATTTTGTTATTGTTAGGCGCCAATTTCTTGTTACGTGTTTGTGGGAAGAACATACTTCCACACCTTTCGGTTTCTTTCTTGGTTTCGTTCTCGGTTTAGTTGGCGGTTTCGTTCCCGCTTTCAATCTCGATTTCATTCTCGGTTTCATTCTCGGCATCGTATGATGAAGAAAGAATTTGCATACAATGCCGATCCATAAACCCTATAAATTATACAACTTTTTCTTTTGCGTATGATCAAATACGTTTCTCTTTAAGAGTTTTTTTTTCAAAACAACGAAAATTAAATTTAAATACCTAGTTAATGTTAAGATAAGGGACTTTCTCTGTAAGAGAAAACCCACATTTTTTTTATTTCGTTCAACAACTACAAGACAAGATGACACGAAATGACACCTGCTATTTTAATTGTGCCAGCTTTTCCTAAACGCCATCGTCATTCACGTCAGTTGGCAAATTGCCGTCTTTTATTTTAAAGCACGGGCAATGAAAACCCAACCCATTTCAAGACTAGCAATTATCGTTCTTTTGGTAAGAGAAGTAAGAACCTTTGTCGAGTCTCAAAAAAGAAACGAATCTAGAACGAATTTTGCAACGAGAATTTTCAAATTCACCTAAATAGTTTTCTTTTAAATAATGTATTTACCAATTTTAGTTTATTGATACGTTCAAAAATAAAAATTAATTGCTAAAAAATAGCTTATTGTGAAATGTCAAAAATGACGTTTATAGATTTCAAAATTTTATTTATTTAAGGTTGGTCACATTGAAATGTCAAATTAATTAAAATGGACGATTAAAACGTCAAAAGTGACGTTTTAAATATTTAATTTAAGAATTTAAATTTGATTTAACCACATTATTGTGAAATGAAAGAAAACATCGTAGCTTACCAAGAAAATGCGTATATTCTGACATATAATCCAACTATCAGGTTAAAGTAATAATTTTATTAATTTAATTATTTTTTTTTAGGATTTCAAAATGCGAGAATATCACGCTGTATTAATACAGTTTCTGATAATCTCAACGTCCGCCTTATACGAAGACATGTTCAGCAACTTCGGAAATCCGTATGACATTAATTTAAATTCCGTTTATCAACGTCCACACGCATTCAATCAACCCAATAATCCGATTTATTCTACGGGATTTGGGTAAAAATCATAAAAAACTCATTTAACATCAACAAATAAGTTTGCGGTTTTATTTCGTTTCTAATAAATCTTATTTATTTTATTTTAGCCAAGCACAACCTCAATTTCAACCTAATTTTCCGCAATTTCAACAACAATTTCAACCCCAATTTCAAACAACGACTCCAGATCCCGCCACTTTGGGGTGCGGAACCGCTCCGGCTTCTTGCCAACCATCTAGATATCGCACTTTGGATGGTTCTTGTAATAACTTAAGAAACCCTGGGTTGGGAATCCCACAAACGAGATTTAACAGATTGGTTCCTCCGAATTATGGAGATGGAATTAGTACCCCAACGAGAGCTCGATCGGGAAATGAACTTCCCCCCGCAAGATCTTTAAGTTTAATTTTATACCCGGATGTTCCAGTTGAAGATCCTAAATTTACAGTTGCAGCTATGCAATATGGACAAATTATTACTCACGATATGAGTATGATTGCTGGAAGCACACAAGCGCGTAAATATTTATTTTTAATTCGTCATGGTTTAATTTAATAATTTCCTTTTAGAACCACATGATACAAAGTGTTGTTCACCAACGGGGCAATTATTAGAGTTAGCGAACTCCCCAGAACATTGTTTTCCATTAACGATAGCAAGAGATGACCCAATTAATCAAAATACGTTACAACCTCAAAATTGTATGAGTTTTGTTAGAACGATAACAGATCGTGATAGAAATTGCGTTGGAGGTAGCCAACCAGCGGAACAAATCTCCGCCGTAAATCATTTCTTAGATTTATCCGTCGTTTATGGAAATACAGACCAAGTTAGCGCGCAAGTCCGATTGTTCCAAGGTGGTAGATTAACCGGGGAATTCCGTAACGGGCAAGAATGGTTACCAAGAAATAACAACGCATCCGGCGTTTGCGATTTACGTCTAAACCCTCAAGAAGCGTGTTACGCAGCCGGGGATGTCCGAGTTAATCAAAATCCTCAATTAACCATTCTTCAAATTATATTGTTTAGGGAACATAATCGTTTAGCCGATTCGTTATCTAAAATTAATCCACACTGGGATGATGAAACTTTGTATCAAGAAGCGAGAAAAATTAATATAGCCCAGCATCAATTTATTTCTTATTACGAATGGTTACCGATTTTTATTGGCGTTGGAAATTCGTTAAAAAATAGAATCATTTGGGACACCAAAGATTTCGTTAACGATTACGACGAAAACGTTGATCCAACCGTTATTAACGAACACGCCACCGCTGCTTTTAGATTTTTCCATTCGTTAATAGCCGGGCATTTAGAGTAATTATTTATTTTTATACAGCATATGCAACCAACATCACAGTATCGGTATTGCAATACACGATTTGCGCATTTGGTTGCATACTTCGGGTACGATAATTAATTTATTTTAATTATTTTTTTAGTCTCGTCGGAGAATATAGAAATAACATGGGTAACATTCGTATGAGTGACTGGTTTAATCGCCCAGCTGTTCTCGAACAAGGCACAAATTTCGACGATTTAACTCGCGGAATGGCTTCGCAACCTGAATTAAAATCCGATCGATTCCACGATAGCGAAATAACACAATTTTTATTTAGAATGGGACAATTTTACGGTCAAGATTTGAAGGCTATTTGTATACAAAGAAATCGTGATCATGGTTTGGCTTCTTATAATGATGTTAGACAGTTTTGTGGATTGGGAAAAGCTTCTAGTTTTGATGATTTACTTGATGTTATGACTAAAGATGTAAGTTATTATACAAATTTATTTATAAAAGTAATTGTCCCTATTAAAATTATCGATATCAAAAGAGGTAAACCTAATTTTAGTTGTTATTCAGCATCAGGTTATTGTACTAGAAGTAGAACTAATATTAGATCTAGAACAATAAATATTTGGGTTTCTAGTTCTTAGTCTAGTGTTAGTTCTAGTGATAGTGCTAATTAGCAATAGAGTATATAGCATATTTGTAGTGTTTCCATTAAAAAAAAATTTAAATTTTATCTTTTTAAATAACGAAAGTTTAAACGTCAATGTGACATAAATGAACTGTCACCAATTATCACCAACTTCACAATCATTTGTCAATTTGAATTTACTATTTTGATAGGTTATTTACCCTAAAGCCGACGCTGATTAACACACTTTTTACTATAATACCTATAAAGGTAAAATTTTTAGTGTTTTCATTTAAAAAAAAATTTAAATTTTATCTTTTTAAACGATAGTTTAAACGTCAATGTGACATAAATGAACTGTCACCAATTATCACCAACTTCACAATAATTTAACAATTTACTATTTTGATAGGTTATGTTTAGATTTTATTTTTTATTTCAATAATATTGTATCTTAACTAGAGATGGAAAATTCTCGAGAAAAAGAAATAGAAGAATATTCTCGATTTTGAGAATTTTTTGAGAACAAGCTTTTAAATACAAATACAGCTTGGAAAATTCGATGGCTGTAACGTGGTATGGTTCATATTTATGGACTTATTTATGATGTTTAGAATATATTTTATCTAATGAATTTTCAGACGGTTCTGGAAAAGTTTCCAAATCACTGTATTCAATCATTTTAATATCAGGAAGGTCTTCATTACGTTCATTAACCTCCACGTTGGTGGCAGAATCTAATAATTTTAAATTATGAGCAATAAAACTTATTTTACCAGTGCTGAAGCTTCTTTCTATTGCTGCACTCGACGCAAGCATATTATCATACAACGGGATGTAGTTTTTCCACGAATTTTAAAACATAATTTTCCAAATAACCCTTCTTTGGATCGATAAAGGGCTAATTCTGCCATTACCGCTGCAGACTCATCTGAGCTTGTTACAGTAGCCATATTGTCTATAAAGTCTGTTCTTTGTATTTGTTCTTCTCTATTAAGATGAATCCCATTAAAATTTGGATCTAGAAATATTTGCAGCACGATGGATTGGATTTATTTGCCTTCTCTTAATTAACAAGTTTTTTACTTCCCTTTCTTCTTGGTTAACCAAAGGACTGTTTCAAAAGACTTATCTCCTTCCAGTTGATAAAAGTTTGAAACTTTTACCCAAAAAATATCCTCCTCATGCAATATCAACTTTGTAACTCCTTTACTGACTCGTTCTTTATAAAAAAACATTTAACTTTTAATTTGAACAAGCTTATTTTACTTTTTAAATGCTCTACGGCCTGATCCTCTTCTTTTAAAACATCAAATGTCCAATTTAACTCGATGAATCTGGTAGTGTTCGCAACATGTAATTAATTTTTTCTTTATCCGTTACTTTTGCACTCGCAGCTTTTAAGGAATTTACTGATCAGTAAGAAGGGCTTTCGACTCTTCATAGTACCAGGCGAAAAAAAATAAAAGAAATTTGGCGTAATTTTATCAACATAGTTTTAAATTTCCCGCTTCACTTTAGAGCTAAAATGGCGGCAAACGGCGGTACTTTGATAATCTAGGAAGTTTTTTTGTAAATAGTTGCTCACCCCATCTAACGACAACCTTCCATATAAGTCAGTTTTGACATTCAAATCCTTCAATTACATTTCTTGCTAAAATTATTAAATTTTGCGAAAAAATAAGTTTAGTTGAGCCTAAATTCTCATCAAAATACGTTTTTGGATTCCCAAATCATTTATTTACAGTGATTATGGACTCTAAGAAGTGATTTTTTCCCGAAATTGAAGAAAACATAACCTAAGTTTTATCTGTCACTTTAAAATTTTCGAGGAATTAATTTATTTTCTAGAAAAAAAAGCTTGTTAAATGATTTTTTTAAGATAATAAGGAAACATTAATCTTCATTCAGGTAAAGATTTCAAATTTTTATGATTATTATTTTTTTATCTTAAAAATTTCTTCTTTTCTAAATAATTGCGCGCTCCATCTAGCGGCAACCATCTATATTAAGTCAGTTTTGACATTTAAATCCTTCGATTACATTTCTTGCTAAAATTATTAAATTTTGCGAAAAAATAAGTTTAGTTGAGCCTAAATTCCCATCAAAATACGTTTTTGGACTCCCAAATCATTTATTTACAGTGATTATGGACTCTAAGAAGTGATTTTTTCCCGAAATTGAAGAAAACACGAAAACATAGCCTAACTTTTATCGGCCACTTTAAAATTTTTGAGGATTTAATTTATTTTCTAGAAAAAAAACTTGTTAAATGATTTTTTTAAGATAATAAGGAAACATTAATCTTCATTGAGGTAAAGATTTCAAATTTTTATGATTATTATTTTTTTTATCTTAAAAATTTCTTCTCTTCTAAATAATTGCGCGCTCCATCTAGCGGCAACCTACTATATTAAGTCAGTTTTGACATTTAAATCCTTCGATTACATTTCTTGCTAAAATTATTAAAGTTTGCGAAAAAATAAGTTTAATTGAACCAAAATTCTCATCAAAATATGTTTTTGGACTCTCAAACCATTTATTTATAGTGATTATTGACTCTAAGAAGTGATCTTTCCCCGAAATTAAAGAAGAAATGGAAACATAACCTAACTTTTATTTGTCACTAAAATTTTTGAGGATTTAATTTATTTTCTAGAAGAAAAACTTGTTAAATGATTTTTTTAAGATAATCAGAAAACATTAATCTTCATTCAGGTAAAGATTTCAAATTTTTATGATTATTATTTTTTTTATCTTATAAATTTCTTCTCTTCTAAATAATTGTGCGCTCCATCTAGCGGTAACCATCTGTATTAAGTCAGTGTTGACATTTAAATCCTTTGATTACATTTCTCGCTAAAATTATTAAATTTTGCGAAAAAATAAGTTTAATTGAGTCAAAATTCCTATCAAAATACGTTTTTGGACTCCCAAACCATTTATTTGCAGTGATTATTGCCTGTAAGAAGTGATCTTTTCCTGAAATTGAAGAAAACATAACCTAACTTTTATCTGTCACTTTAAAATTTTTGAGGATTTAATTTATTTACAAGAAAAAGAACTTGGTAAACGATTTTTTTAAGATAATAAGGAAACATTTATTTTCATTCAGGTAAAGATTTCAAACTTATAATTAAATTTTTTTTATCTTAAAAATTGATTTTCTTTTAAATATTTGCTCACCCCATCTAGCGGCAACCATCTATATTAAGTCAGTTTTGACGTTTAAACCCTACGATTACATTTCTTGCTTAAATTATTAAATTTTGCGAAGAAATAAGTTTAATTAAGCTAAAATACCATATCATTTAACAAGTTAATGATGTTATCTTTTTAAATAACGAAAGTTTAAACGTCAAAGTGACATTTTACTATTTTGACAGGTTATGTTTAAATTTAATTTTTTATTTCAATAATATTGTGTCTTAACGCAAATCTTTCTTGTTTTAGAACGTAAATAGTTTGGCCAATCTTTATGAATCAGTTGACGATATCGATTTAACAGTCGGTGGATCTTTAGAAATTTTGGTACCCGGCACCTTATCAGGACCAACATTTTTATGTATTTTAACCGAACAATTCTACAGAACGCGAGCTGGGGATCGATTTTGGTTCGAAAATTCCGGCCCAACAGGATTTAATTTAGGTATTTATTAAATACTTATTAATTAATTTGATTCAAATTCTTTTTCGTTATAGATCAACTCAACGAAATTAGAAAAACGAGCTTAGCAAGACTTTTCTGCGACAACGCAAACGTGAGAAGCATGCAACCAAGAGGGTTTATTAAAATTTCCGATTCGTAAGTCAAAATTTAAACAAATTAAGGATAAATATGATATTTTTGTGATTTTAGAAACCCCGTCGTTTCTTGCGAACAAATACCATCGGTTAATTTGAATTTGTGGAGGGATTCTTCAAATTCAGGGTCTCAATTTACATTAGAAAACCCACACGACTTTTATTATACGAAATAAAGATTAATTTAATTATGTAAATATTAAATAACGTTAAGTAGGTAGAATAATAAAATAGGTTTTTAAGGATATTATTAAAATAACACAAAGGTGCGATAATTAGTTATTATTTATGATTAAAAATGTACATAAACATTTCAAAAGTATTTATCAATTTATTTTTAATCTAATCGTCGAATCCTCCATAAACCATATCACTTAAAAAGTTGATTTTATCATTCCCTACAAAATGTTCAAAGAAAATAATCTCATTATCGCCCGATTTTAAAAGCGGGGCTGGAAGATAAGCGGCCAATTGAGGGCCAACTCGAAAATGTCTCGATAATACAAAACCATTTACAATAACAACCCCTTTTCTCCAATCTCTCAAATCAATGTAACTATCTTTATCGGGGTTTTGTACGTTTAAAACCCCTCGATATAAAGCAGGGCCGTTTTTAAAAGTGGGGGTTTCCCAACCGGTTAAAGAATTCGTCCAATTCTTTTTAAACTCCAACGAGTGTATTTTCCAATTTAAAATAATTTCGTCGTTTAATAACACGTTCCCTTGGAATAAACCTTTTTGTTGATTAAATTGATTGAGAGTACCGAAGTTAACCCGCCCCGAATTTTCAACGATTAATTCCAAAGTTGCGTCTTCGTAACTTTCTAATCCTAAATTTAACGAGGCGTCTTTAACCCTCCAATAACCGAATCCGTTTACGTCGCTTTCTGAGGTTAAAATTTTCGATTTTAATTCCCCATTGATTAAAACTAAAATCGTATCGTAAACTCGCCCCTCAATTTTTAAAATCGAATCGGATGGGATGTTTAAATTTTCTTTTTTATACACGACATAACCGAATCTTTGACCCCCTCCGTTATTAATATCGATATTTTCCATTGAAATTACATTTTCGCTTTCAACGTAAGACTCGGATTTTAATAAATCGGAGATTCTTAATTCCCCGGTTATTTCTATTGGATTATACGCGATTCTTGGGGTTAATTCGGGCATGGGGGGTAAATAAAGTTGTGGATTGGAACGTTTTGATATCGCTTCTTTTAAAGCGAAGTATTTTTCGGTGTAATCGCCGTTTTCTGAGAGTGGGGCGTCGTAATCGTAACTTGTTGTGTCGTGTTTGTTACCCCCGTCGGTTAAACCGAGGATGTTTGCGCCGTTTGTGAATCCAAAATTGGTTCCTCCGTGGAACATGTAGAAATTAACGGATGAGGGGTAATCTAAAATCGTTTCGAGGACGCCTAAAAATTTATCGAGGGGTCTCGTTTGATGGTTAGCTAACCAATGATCGAACCAACCGGTCCAAAATTCCATAACCATGATTGGTTTTCCCGGTTGATATTTTTCAATTAATCCTAATTCGTGTTCCGGGTTATCTTGGAAATTCCCCGTGTATAAAACCCCTTCCATTTGACTCAAATTCCCGTAAGATGGCCCATCTGATGTTACAAATAACTCAACGATCCCGTTATTTTTCATTAACCCCCTTAATTGTTCCATATAATCCATGTCAATTGGGTAATCGATCGAATTAGCGCTTCCATATTCGTTTTCGATTTGTACCGCAATAATCGGGCCCCCTTTAGTGAATTGCAACGCTGCCAAAAGTGTTAATAAAGTATTAAAGAACCTCGTTACGTGATTCATGAATTTCTCATCCGATGTCCTCACTCTGATTCCTTTCTCTTTTAATAACCACGATGGTAATCCGCCGAAATCCCATTCGGAGCAAATGTAAGGTCCAGGTCTAACAATCGCCAACATATCCTCTTCTTGAGCCATTTTTAAGAATTTTTCGATGTCTAAAAATTCTTGGAAATCGCTTCCTCCGGCGCCGAAATCGTACAAACCCGGTTCTGGTTCGTGTAAATTCCACGGGACGTAAGTTTCGACCGTGTTTATTCCGGCCGCTTTCATTTTGCGGAGACGATCGCGCCAATATTCTTGAGGAACTCGAAAATAATGTAACGCGCCGCTGTATAAAGTTATATTTTTTTGGTTGAGGGTGAAATAAGGTTGGTTTGTGTTCAAACCTTCCGTTATTCCACCGCTTGTGTAGTGTTGATATAGAGTTGGTAAACTCATTGTTTATTTCTAGTTAACTTAAACTCAACTGATTGTAAGGATGTTTTGAGTTAAGTTTTATAACGCGTCGATAACCAATAAGTGGTCAGATAAAGATAGGTTTAAAAATACTTTTTCAATAACGGTATTTTGTCCTTGAAGAATTCTTATTAATAAAACATTGAACTTGAATATACAAATTTATTTATAAGAGAATTCATTAAATATAGTGACTCAAACTATTGTTCTAACTTGAATTTAAATAATTTAAACGTTATATTTTTTCAAAATTCCCATCAAAATACGTTTTTGGACTCCCAAATCATTTATTTACAGTGGTTATGGACTCTAAGGAGAGATTTTTTCCCGAAATTGAAGAAAACACGAAAACATAACCTAATTTTTATCTGTCACTTCAAAATTTTTGAGGAATTAATTTATTTTCTAGAAAAAAAATTTATTAAATAATTTTTTTAAGATAATAAAGAACCATTAATCTTCATTCAGGTAAAGATTTCAAAGTTTTATGATTATTATCTTTTTTATCGTTAAAAATTCTTTCTTTTCTAAATGGTTGTTAACCCCATCTAGCGACAACCATCCATATTAAGTCAGTTTTGACATTTAATCCCTACGATTACATTTCTTGCTAAAATTATTAAATTTTATCAATAAATAAGTTTAATTGAGCTAAAATCCACATCAGAATACGTTTTTGGACTCTCAATCTAATCATTTATAGTGATTATTGACTTTAAGAAGTGATCTTTCCCCGAAATTAAAGAAGAAATGAAAACATAACCTAACTTTTATCTGTCACTTTAAAATTTTTGAGGATTTAATTTATTTTCTAGAAGAAAAACTTGTTAAATGATTATTTTAAGATAATAAGGAACCATTAATCTTCATTCAGGTAAAAATTTCAAATTTTTATGATTATTATTTTTTTTATCGTTAAAAATTCTTTCTTTTCTAAATGGTTGTTAACCCCATCTAGCGACAACCATCCATATTAAGTCAGTTTTGACATTTAATCCCTACGATTACATTTCTTGCTAAAATTATTAAATTTTATCAATAAATAAGTTTAATTGAGCTAAAATCCACATCAGAATACGTTTTTGGACTCTCAAACTAATCATTTATAGTGATTATTGACTTTAAGAAGTGATCTTTCCCCGAAATTAAAGAAGAAATGAAAACATAACCTAACTTTTATCTGTCACTTTAAAATTTTTGAGGAATTAATTTATTTTCTAGAAAAAAAATTTATTAAATGATATTTTTAAGATAATAAGGAACCATTAATCTTCATTCAGGTAAAGATTTCAAATTATTATGATTATTATTTTTTTTATCTTAAAATTTTCTTCTCTTCTAAATAATTGCGCGCTCCATCTAGCGGCAACCATCTATATTAAGTCAGTTTTGACATTTAAATCCTTCGATTACATTTCTTGCTAAAATGATTAAATTTTGCAAAAAAATAAGTTTAATTGATCCTAAATTCCCATCAAAATACATTTTTGGACTCCCAAATCATTTATTTACAGTGGTTATGGACTCTAAGAAGTGATTTTTTCGCGAAATTGAAGAAAACACGAAAACATAGCCTAACTTTTATCTGTCACTAAAATTTTTGAGGAATTAATTTTTTTTTTAGAAAAAAACTTATTAATTAACAATTTCTTTAAGATAATAAGGAAACATTAATCTTCATTCAGGTAAAGATTTCAAACTTTTATAATTAAAATTTTTTTATCTTAAAAATAGTTTTTCTTTTAAATATTTGCTCACCCCATCTAGCGGCAATCATCTATATTAAGTCAGTTTTGACATTTAAACCCTGCCATTACATTTCTTGCTTAAATTATTAAATTTTGTGAAGAAATAAGTTTAATTGAGCTAAAATACCATATCGTTTAACGAGTTAATGATGTTATCTTTTTAAATAACGTCAAAGTAACATAAATGAATTGTCACCAATAATCACCAACTTCACAATAATATATCAAATTATTATTTTGACAGGTTATGTTTAAATTTAATTTTTTATTTCAATAATATTGTGTCTTAACGCAAATCTTTCTTGTTTTAGAACGTAAATAGATTGGCAAATCTTTATCTTTTGGTACCCGGTGCCTTATCAGGACCAACATTTTTATGTATTTTAACCGAACAATTCTACAGAACGGGAGCTGGGGATCGATTTTGGTTCGAAAATTCCGGCCCAACAGGATTTAATTTAGGTATTTATTAAATACTTATTAATTAATTTGAAAATTTAAATAATTTAAACGTTATATTTTTTGTTAAACTAAAACTAGAACTAACACTAAACTTAAGTCAACAATTTAATCAACATAAAGATATTGATGAAGATCAGATTTATTTGGACTTACGCCCGTTAAGAAATTGAAAAAATATAAATTATATAACCTTAAATTTTTTTTCCTATAACACCTGTCAAAGTCAAATTCAAATTTTTCGTTTTTCTGTTGGTATTAAACCTAAATGAATATTATTATTATTCTAATTTTACTAACATTTTCAATAACTCTAAATAAATTAAGCCTTTTTCGCGTAAATTTGATTTCAATTATTTCTTAATAAATAATAAAGCCAAAAATAAAATTTTCTTTAAAAACTTCAGATGTCAAAATGACACATTAACTTAAAAACATGATATAACCAAAATTCCCTGTTAATCATACCAACCGTCACCAAATTTATAAAAATTTGACAGGTATTGTCAAAAAATCAAAATAAAATACGTTTTTTATAAAATTTTAAATTAATATTGGAGATAATGAAGAAGATCTAATTACTATTACTGACGTTATAAGCACAGTGAAATTCCCCTAACTCGAATAATTTTCGTAAGCTCAAGCGTTTGACTAGGTTTCAAATGTGTTTTCTTCAAATTTTACTTCTATAAGTCGAATTTAGCAAAGAATAAAATATTCAAATCCGCTCTGTAAGTAATTTTAACTACAGAATCAAACCACATAGACTCAGAAACTACAGACTCTTGAACCAAATCAAATCTAACGTTCTTATTGTTTCAGAATCAGATGAGAAATACTAATCGCTGTGCCTACATTTGATGAAGCTTATTCGTCTCTTAGAAAAGCTTGAAACATTTGTATTATCAAGAGAGAATGTTCCAAATAAATTCTTTACATTTAATAGAAGATTTTTTCGACAAAGAGCGGTTGTCCACTTTAAACCAAAAGAAAATTACGGATTACTTTGAAAAACTTGATTAATTTTCTACTTACAATAGTATTAAGGTTTCTGTTTTAAATATACGTATTAGAAAAGTACATTTATAATTTTTTTCTTTAGAGCTAAACTCTACTAATTTTTCTCTAACTCGAATTCTCCATAACTCGAAGTTTTCTTCCGCTCCCTTAGTGATTTGACTTACGGGAATTTCACTGTAGTTCATTTTATTAAGAAAAATCGTCAAATTATCATTAGAAACGTTATTTTTGCAATATTTGATATCAACGCAATAGGACGATAGTTTGAAAAAACCGATCGATCTCAATCCTTATACATACAATGGTTTAATTACTGCTTTTTTAAGGATTGCTGGAAAAACGCCCGTAGAAAAGGACAAATTGATAACATTACGCAACGGTTCAGAGAGATCATCAGAAGAGAAGTTCTATTACATCACTTAAATAAAATGCGAAAGAAATTTATACACTATTTATGAAATTTGTACACTGTTTAATACACTGGTCGAAATACGTTTAGATCAAAATAATTATTTGATTTTTTGCATCTCCTGAGTGCATTAATGTAGAATTTTCAATATAGTTAGTATACGAAGCCTTTTTTGATCTTTCAATTTCTGTCTTTAGGTACTGACAGAAATTTTTATAGGCTTCAGGAGTAATTTACACTCCTTCATATAACTGCCTTTTAATCGTTGTTTTATTTCTAATTTCTTCTGTTAACCATGTTTTCACTTGAACTTGGTTGTTATATATTATAGTAGATTTTATTAAAGAAAATCGTCAAATTTTGACAATTTGGAATTTATGCTATATCACTAGAAAATGGTGATAGATAAATCTGAAATAATTATGGATGATGATTTCTTGATGCATTAGCAATATTTTTTATTCATAACATTTTTCTCCATCAGTTTTAGTACTTAATTTATAGTTGATTTTATTAAGAAAAATCGTCCAATTTTGACATTTTGTTATTTATACCATATCATTAGAAACTGGTGAGAGATAAGTATGAAATAAGTGTGGATTATGATTTCTTGGTGCATTAGGAATACTTTTTATTGATAACATTTTTCTCCATCAGTTTTAATATTTATATTATAGTTGATTTTATTAAGAAAAATCGTCCAATTTTGACATTTCATGATTTATATCCTATTATTAGAAACTAGTAAGAGGTAAGTATGAAATAAGTGTGGATTATGATTTCTTGGTGCATTAGGAATACTTTTTATTCATAACATTTTTCTCCATCAGTTTTAATATTTATATTATAGTTGATTTTATTAAGAAAAATCGTCCAATTTTGACATTTCATGATTTATATCATATCATTAGAAACTAGTAAGAGATAAGTGTGGATTATGATTTCTTGATGCATTAGGAATATTTTTTATTCATAACACTTTTCTCCATTAGTTTTAATATTTATATTATAGTTGATTTTATTTAAAAAAATCGTCTAATTTTGACATTTTGTGATTTATACCATATCATTAGAAACTGGTGATAGATAAATATGAAATAACTATGGATTATGATTTCTTGATGCATTAGCAATATTTCTTATTCATAACATTTTTCTCCATCACTTTTAGTACATTCGTTATATTTAATTTTATTAAGAAAAATCGTCAAATTTTGACATTTTGTGATTTATGCTATATTACTAAAAACTGATGATAGATAAATATGAAATAATTATGGATGATGATTTCTTGATGTATTAGGAATATTTTTTATTCATAACGTTTTTCTCCATCAATATTACTATTCATATTATAGTAGATTTTATTAAGGAAAATCGTCCAAGTTTCACATTTTGTGATTTATGCCGTATCACTAGAAACTGGTGATGGATAAATATGAAATAATTATAAATGATGATTTCTTGATTCATTAGGAATATTTTTTATTCACAAAATTTTTCTCCATTACTTTTAGTACATACGTTATAGTTAATTTTATTAAGAAAGATCGTCCAAGTTTGACATTTCGTAATTTATTTAATATCACTAGAAACTGAATATAGATAGATATGATATAACTATGGATTATGGTTTTTTGATGCATTAGGAGTATTTTTTATTCATAACATTTTTCTCCATCACTTTTAGTACATACGTTATAATTGATTCTATTAAGAAAAATCGTCTAATTTTGACATTTTGTGATTTATGCTATATCATTAGAAACCGGTGATAGATAAATATGAAATAAGTATGGATTATGATTTCTTGATGCATTAGCAATATTTTTTATTCATAACATTTTTCTCCATCACTTTTAGTACATTCGTTATAGTTAATTTTATTAAGAAAAATCGTCTAATTTTGACATTTTGTGATTTATGCTATATCACTAAAAACTGATGATAGATAAATATGAAATAATTATGGATGATGATTTCTTGATGCATTAGCAATATTTTTTATTCATAACGTTCTTCTCCATCAGTTTTAGTACTTACGTTATAAGTAGTTCAATTTATTAAGAAAAATTGTCAAATTTTGACATTTTGTGTTTTATGTTAATAATCTCTACTGTAATCTCTTTTATGTTTATTGTTCTTGTTCAAATAGACTTTTTTACAATAACTTTACAAAATTGACTTTACAAAATATGATCGACTTATTGAGCAAAACTATTGGGACAAAACAAATCGAGAATTTTCCGCAAATTAATAACGGAGAATTAAGAAACACCATGACGGTTATGGACAAGAAACACAATAAAATTTAAATTTATGTAACTCTAATCTATTAAGTAAAAATTTTTCAAACCAAAACATTTTTATTTTTAAACTTAACACAAATTTTAATAAAATACTTTCCCACAATCCATCAATTTTCGATTAGTTCCATATCCCTTTCTACGATCTAATCTCGACAAATCCACACTCATATAAACACAACTTACATACCGATTTCCTTTCATTATTAATTCACAACCGGTTTAATTTCCTTTAAAATTTGTTTTAATATGCCTACAACCTAATAACTGTCCAAAAACGAATATCGTTTCAAGAAAACGTAATTATTACTTAAAAACAAAACGACTAATCGATAAACAAGCGTGAAATCCGCGTATTGCACACTCCGTCCGTACACCTGCCCAACCAGAATCGTTGTTGGGCGTAAAATTGGAGCGTGGTGAAAGCAATGAGATCAACTAAGAAATTGTTGGATTTTTTGTCATCTTTTTCCGACCAAAACGGGCGATATAAATTCACAAAATCTTTCAAATACAAATCAGTATTCAACTTGAAGCAGTTCACTGCAAACATGAACCACCAAAAACTATTAGTTTTTGGTCTTTTAGCCACCACAATTTATCTAGTTTCATCTAAAGAAATTACTAGACAAAAAAGAGATGATTTAATTGCATCTGCTAGTAGTTATGGAGGAGGAGGAGGAGGAGGACATGGAGGAGGTGGCGGTGGAGGACATGGAGGAGGTGGTGGTGGAGGACATGGAGGAGGTGGTGGTGGAGGACATGGAGGAGGTGGTGGTGGAGGACATGGAGGAGGTGGTGGAGGTCACGGAGGAGGTGGTGGAGGTCATGGAGGAGGTGGTGGTGGTGGTGGAGGAGGTTCCTCATCATTCAAACACGGAGGAGGTAGCGAAAATCATTCTGGTCATTTCGGTGAAAAAGGTGATAAAGGAGAAAAAGGTTATAAAGGTTACCATGATTATGAAAAAGGTGAAAAAGGTCACCATGACAAAGAAGGACATAAAGGACATTACGGCGAAGAAGGTGGTAGCAAAAAAGGGAGCCACCACGACGATGGTTATCATGCCCATCACGAAAAAGGTGAAAAGGGTGAAAAAGGTAGCGATTTCGGCGAAAAAGGTGAATACAAAAAAGGACACAGCACCAATGGAGGACATCAAATAAAGAAATCGGAAGCTTATAAAAAAGAAACTCATTTCTACGACGAAGATCACGACGAAGGACATCACGAGAAAGGAGGTGGTTTCCATCATGAAGATGGTTACAAGAAGGGAGGTGAACAGAAAGGAGGACATTCTAAAGGAGGACATCACGAAGATCATTATGGCAAAAAGGGACATCATGAAAAAGGGGGACATTATCATGACGATAAAGGACATAAAAATGGTGGTGGACATGAAGAAAGTTATTCCCATGGTGAGAAATATGGAAAGAAAGGTGGTGATTCCGGGCATAAAAAATGGGGAAATAGTCATAGCGATGAATCAAGCAGTGGAGGTGGAGGAGGGGGTGGCCACGGAGGCGGTGGTAAGCATTAAATAAATTTAAACAAATTATTATAAAATTAATCTTGTATTTCAACAATGAAGGAATATACATAATTTTAATTATAAACCAATTTCTTATTATTTATGACTCACTTTATTAAAATTACGGTTTAATTTGCATTAATACAGTATTATTAATGCAAAAAGTGCAACCTTCAAGTAGAGATATTAATTTCCTTTGTTTTATTAACTTTATTAGATCACCGTTATGTTTTACATTTTAGTTCCAGTTTCAATTACTAAATTTTTTTTTTTCTAAATCGGTTACTTAACGCCAAAGAAATTGAGCAATCTAATTAATATCGATCATGTTCTATTACGAAACGTTTCTATAAAATTATTTTATTTATTAATTTATTTTATCTAATTCCATTGAAAAAAGGAATTTTTCTTCAAAATTTGACATATTCTATTAGTGACAGATGTCAATTTATCAATTTGTAGTCAGGTAATGGAATTCATTACATCACTAGTGATGTAATAAAATCATTACATTACTAGTTATAAAAAATTAATAGTTACTTTTTTTATAACTAGTGATGTAATGAAATCATTACGTAATAAGTCAAATTTTGAATAAAAATTACTTTTTCAATGGAATTAGATAAAATTTTGTACTTAACACGTTATGAAACGTCTAATTTTGTTTAACTCGCGTAATTTGCAAAACTCGCTTCGAAAAATTAGTCTTTTCATAACTGGTTGCATAAATAACTGTTATCTACGACTGCTTGGATAAGTTATCATTACCACACTCATTTGAGGTGATTTGAGTTATATAATGAAGTTCATTAGCCTAATTAGAACAAGACTATTTATTATAAACATTAATTGTTATGTTTTTACATTTCGAAACACTTATTCCAGATGAATAAACGTGTTATTGAAACTGACATTAATTCAAAATTGTCAACAATCATTTCAAAATATTTTTATATGTCAATGTCAAAATAGACCTTTTTAAAAAAATTGATTTTTAAGTAATTTTTAGCAGTCGTAGATAAAATGTTGTATATCACACGTGTGCTAGAGCATAATTACAGTACTCGTGTGATTACCACACTCGTACAGTAATTATGTTTCTAGCCCACTTGTAATATAAATAACGATTTCATAATGGAATTAGGTAAAATTTTGTACTTAACACGTTATGAAACGACTGATTTTGATTTTTGATGATGTGCTTGTTGAGTATATTGTAAAACTCATTATGTATATAATAAGGTTAAAGCTATTTTGTTTGGAATTGTACTATTTTGATTATTATTGTCTCATCATCAATAAACATATATTATTATTATTATTATATTTGCCAAAACGAGTCACGCCTAGTTAACTTAATTTTTATTTTCAATTCTTTTTAAGGTGGCGGACATGGAGGTGGTGGCGGTGGACATGGAGGAGGAGGCGGTGGTGGTCACGGTGGTGGTGGCGGAGGAGGACACGGTGGATACGGAGGCGGTGGACATGGAGGAGGAGGTGGTGGAGGTCACGGAGGTGGTGGCGGCGGAGGACACGGTGGATACGGAGGCGGTGGACATGGAGGAGGAGGCGGTGGTGGTCACGGTGGTAGTGGCGGAGGAGGTGGTGGAGGTCACGGAGGTGGTGGCGGCGGAGGACACGGTGGATACGGAGGCGGTGGACATGGAGGAGGAGGCGGTGGTGGTCACGGTGGTAGTGGCGGAGGAGGTCATGGTGGATACGGAGGCGGTGGGCACGGCGGAGGAGGTGGTGGACATGGAGGAGGAGGCGGTGGACACGGAGGAGGAAGCGGTGGACACGGAGGAGGAGGCGGTGGAGGTCACGGTGGTAGTGGCGGAGGAGGTCATGGTGGATATGGAGGCGGCGGACACGGAGGAGGAAGCGGTGGAGGTCACGGAGGTGGTGGTGGTGGAGGACATGGTGGATACGGAGGCGGTGGGCATGGAGGAGGAGGCGGTGGAGGTCACGGAGGTGGTGGTGGACACGGTGGAGGTGGCGGAGGACATGGAGGAGGAGGACACGGAGGTGGTGGCGGAGGAGGTCATGGCGGAAGTAGTGGAGGACATGGAGGAAGTGGTGGAGGAGGCCATGGTGGTTACGGAGGCGGCGGGCACGGAGGTGGTGGTGGTGGACATGGAGGAGGTGGCCATGGAGGTGGTGGCGGTGGAGGTCATGGCGGAAGTAGTGGAGGACATGGAGGAGGAGGCGGTGGAGGACATGGCGGATACGGAGGAGGAGGCCACGGAGGTGGTGGCAGTGGAGGTCATGGCGGAGGTAGTGGAGGACATGGAGGAGGTGGTGGTGGAGGTCATGGTGGTGATTACGGTGGCCATGGAGGTGATTACGGTGGTCATGGAGGTGATTACGGTGGTCACGGTGGAGATTATGGTGGCCATGATGATGGAGGTTACGGTTGGGGCCATGGTGGAGACGATGGCGGCCATGATTGGGGTCACGGTGGTGGTCACATTGGAGATTACGGCGGTCATGGTGGCGGCGGCGGTTATGGTGGTCATGACCATTGTTAAATTAAACTCAAATTTTATTATTTATAAGAATTATTTAAATTGTATGTTGTCTGTTTCTTGTTATCGTTGGTTTCCAATAAAATATTTAAAAATTTAAATAACTAAATATGTAGGCAACCACTTTTACATCAACTAGTACATTATTATTCAAAATAATAAATGACAAGAAGCAATTAATGATTTAACCAGTGTCCTGGCCAAAGTCAGCAGTTTCTAAGAGTCTTATTTTGCTGTATCAATTCTTTTTTGACAAACTTTCACTTTCAAATCTCCTCAAATAAAAGAATCAAATTAATTTTAATCTGGTTATTGTGAATGCCATTAAACTAGCCTTAAAATGATTAATAGAGTGTCATCATTAATAGAGACGGTATTTTATATCGTGATTTGAAACGATGAGCACTGCCAACGTTATGTATTCTTGAACAAGCCATATCTAGCCTTATGCAAACAGTATCTAGTCTTGTGCAAACAGTATCTAGTCTTCTGTGAACAGAACTTCTAATATTATGCAAGCAGCATCTAATGTTCTACCTGCAGTATCCAATCTTCCATCAAGACTATGTATTCTTCTGCAAGCCATATTATCTTGTACAAGCAGTATCTAGTCTTCCAGCTGCACTATCCAATTTTCTACCAACAGTATTTACTCTTCAATAAGCAGCATAGTCTTGTGGAAGCAGTATCTAGCTTGTCATAAATAAAATTTAAATATCTGTCAGTATCCAAATTTTTGACATTTTGTAATATATGCCATATCACTCACAGAAACTGGTGATAGATATGTTATAAATCAATCGCTTGTAGATTGTTTAAAATAATATATTTGAAATAACCCAGTTCTACCTTAATAACAAGATAATAAATTCTGATTGTAAGAATACTGTTAAGCACGCTTGTGCGCCATTGTGTCTCGATCTTTCTGTCGGTAAGGTAGTTTTCCACTTTTATTGTTATTTATAAACTACATAATACAACAAAATAAATATGAAATAAGTGTTGATTATGATTTATCGATACATTAGGAATAGTTTTTATTCATAACGTCCTTCTCAATCACATTTAGTAGTTAATTTTATTAAGAAAAATCGTATAATTTTGACATTTTGTGATTTATGCCATATCACTAGAAACTGGTGATAGATATGTTATAAATCAATCACTTGTAGATTGTTTAAAGTAATATATTTGAAATAACCCAGTTCTACCTTAATAACAAGATAATAAGCTCTAATTGTAATAATACTGTTAAGCACGCTTGTGCGCCATTGTGTCTCGATCTGTCTGTCGGTAAGGTAGTTTTCTACTTTTATTCTTATTTATAAACTACATAATACAAGATAAATATGAAATAAGTGTTGATTATGATTTATCGATACATTAGGAATAGTTTTTATGCATAACGTCCTTCTCCATCACTTTTAGTAGTTAATTTTATTAAGAAAAATCGTACAATTTTGACATTTTGTGATTTATGCCATATCACTAGAAAGTGGAGAGAGATAAGTATGAAATAAGTGTGGATTATGATTTCTTGGTGCATTAGGAATATTTTTTAATCATAACGTTTTTCTCCATTAGTTTTAGTACTTATATTATAGTTAATTTTATTAAGAAAAATCGTCCAATTTTGACATTTTGTGATTTATGCTATATCACTAGAAACTGGTGATAGATAAAAATGAAATAACTATGGATTATGATTTCTTGATGCATTAGGAATATTTTTTATTCATAACATTTTTCTCCATCAGTTTTAATATTTATATTATAATTGATTTTATTAAGCAAAATCGTCCAATTTTGACATTTTGTGATTTATACCATATCATTAGAAACTGTTGAGAGATAAATATGAAATAAGTGTTGATCATGATTTATCGATACATTAGGAATATTTTTTATTCATAACATTTTTCTCCATCAGTTTTAATATTTATAATTATAGTTGATTTTATTAAGAAAAATCGTCCAATTTTGACATTTTGTGATTTATACCATATCATTAGAAATTGGTGAGAGATAAGTATGAAATAAGTGTGGATTGTGATTTCTTGATTCATTAGAAATATTTTTTATTCATAACATTTTTCTCCATCAGTTTTAATACCTATATTATAGTTGATTTTATTAAGAAAAATCGTCCAATTTTGACAATTTGCGATTTATACCATATCATTAGAAACTGGTGAGAGATAAGTATGAAATAAGTGTGGATTATGATTTCTTGATACATTAGGAATATTTTTTATTCATAACATTTTTCTCCATCAGTTTTAATATTTATATTATAGTTGATTTTATTATTTAAAAAACGAAAAAGTAAGTTTTTTGTTTTTCGGCCATATTTTAAAAACTAAAACGGGTAGATCCAAAAGATTAGTTGAAAAATGATGACCTCTAAGATACGCAACTTTGCCCCCATTTAACCATTTCTGTATTTCTTATGGTTTCTGAGATCCCAATGATGGATCTCATCTGGTTGGTCTTCTGCCAAAAGTATGTATTCTTAAACAAGCTGTCTACTCTGTGCAAGCAGTATCTAATCTTATGTACGCAGTATCTAGTTTTGTACAAGCAGTCTAGTCTTCTACATGGAGTATCCCATCTGCTGCCAAGAGTATAAATTCTTCTACAAGCCATATAATCTTCTACAAGCAGTAGTTGGTCTTCTACCTGCACTATCTAATTTTTATACCAACAGTATTTACTCTTCCATAAGCAGTGTCTAGTCACCTCTGTTAGTAATATACAGTGTCTGCAAGTAACATTGTGGTTTCTAGCCAAGTATGATCAAGTCCAGGAGTGGTTTGTGATGGGAACGAGTTTTTGTAAGACACCTAAAAAAAGATCGATTAATAACGAATCCTCAATTAGTACTTTAACCTTTTTTATCCTAATCCTTCTTGCTTGGATGGCTCCAAAACTTGCTTGGTAATATTCGAATAAGTTCTTTATCTTTAAAAATTTGGTGGGGGTTAAGAAACCCCGGGAAAAAATTGGGATGGGATTTTATTGGGAATTAATATGGAAAAAAAGGATTATTACACATTAGTGATTTTTTCTTTTTTTTTTTTTTGTTTTAATTATTTTTGAGAAGGGATATATTCGGGTTAAGGATAGAGGTATCACAGATAAAAGGATGGACAATGAATTTGTTGTTGTTGTTAGTTAATTTTTTTTCTTTACATGATATCGTGTCGGTGTTCTTTTTTATGGCGAAAACGAAATAATTATTTTCAAAAATTACAGAGAATCGGCTTTTCGAAAAACAAGCCGTTACATAAAGTTGAGATCCAAAAAAAAAAACGGCTTAAAAACTAAAACTGTATGATTTAATCTTTTTATACACAATTAATTAATATAAAAAAAAGAAAAAAATAAGTCCCTTAATAAGAAATTTGATTTTATTTATTAAATTCGTCCGAGAAAAAATTCGAAATTAAAAAAGGATGGAAAGGTTCTTATTTTAATCTTTCTTTTCGAGTTTTTTTTTAATAAACTAAAAATGACTTCTTTGTATTGCACATCACAAAATGATTTCTCTTCAACATTTTTTTAAGTTAAACTCTTTGCTTTGGAAAGAGGAAGACTCGATTCGATTGCCTCAAAAAACAAACATTTTAATGATGCGTAATGTTCATAAATTTAGGGTTGGGGTCGTTTTCGAAGCCAATTTGCGACCAAACTCCGCTTTAAATAAAAAAAAAACTCACTTTCACATTTAATTATGAAGCGAAGGATCGCAAATTGATGCTTCAAAAATAAAAAATAATAATAATAAAAGTAAAAATAACATTGCAAAAATTATTAAACAAAAAAATCGACTTTTTTGTTTAAATGCTGGATCTTAAAACTACATACTTTTTTACACACATATTTTTTCCGTGATTATTGATTTGTACTTCATCTTAACAAAAATACCAACCCGGAAAGTTATTCTATTCTTTTTTTTATACAATTCAATTAAAAAATTAAAAGATATATAAATCAACGGAACACTTTCGCATCGAAATCCTCTTAAAATTGAAATTTTGAGATCGTTTTGAGCGACGTTGAGCGATTTCGTTGGGAATAGTCCCCGTTGAATTATTTTCTTAATTTTCCGAGTTGGGAAAATCACATATATGCCGTTTATATAATAATATAATATATAATTGTATTGTTAATAGACTTATTTAGAAATTTTTTCATTTTTTCGTTCATCTAGAGAAGTCTCGATAACTAGAAATATTTTTTTTTCTAAAACCGTCGTTTTAAATCTAAATATCACAGAGCGGCTGAACAGGACAATCATTTCTTTTCTCTTTTACATTATTTTGTCACGATTTGTACTTATTAATGGTAATCTTACTTTATATAGTTTTAAAAACTTAATGAGACTTAAATGGATATTATTACATAAACGGGATCGTCAACAATACTTCATTATTTAAGTTTAAAATAATTGTTAAGAGTTAAACGGCAAATTGGGGAGGTTTCGTTTCATTTATGTACATAACCTCACTTCCTGTTAACAATTATTTTCGAAATCCTTTCAAATCCGCTTCAAATTTCGATTCATTATTTTATTAATAACATTGAAGATCCGAAGATGTAACGTTTATAACAAAAAAGAATTGTTAATTTCAAATTAAAACCACAAAATTTAAAAGTGACGTTTAAAAAAAATTTTTTAACCTCAAAATATAAAAAGTGACGTTTCTAAATTTTTTTTAACCTCACTTTGATTCAAAATTATTTTTTTTAAATAAGATTTAAATGGATATTATTACATAAACGGGACCATCAATACCACTTAATTATTTTAAGTTTAAAATAATTGTTAAAAATTAAACAGCAAAATCGGGGAGGTTATTTACGCAGATAACCTCACTTCCTATTAACAATTATTTTCGAAATTCTTTTAAATTTCGATTCTTTGTTTTATATTAACATTGAAGATCCGAAAATGTAATTAAATTACACAAAAAAAAATTTAATTTCAAATTATA